TCTTTTTTCTCCTTTTCTCTCTCCTCTCATTTTTCCCCTTTGTGTCTCTTTCTATATCTTTCACCTCTCTTTCTCTCCCTCTCTTTGTTAATCTATCCTTCTCTCCCCTTTTCTCTCCATTCTCTTTGTTTCTCTCCACTCTCTTTGTCTTTCATTCTCATTTTCACCTTTTCTTCTCTCTTGTTCTCCCCTCATCTGTCTTTCCCTCTCCTTCACCATTTCATTTTCTGTCCTTTCTCATTTTCTCCCTCTTTTCTCTCCTCTCTCCTCTCATTTTTCCTCTTTATATTTTCTCTCCTCTCTCGATCATTTCTCCTTTTCTATCTCTTTCCTTTTTCTTTCTCTTAATCTCCTCTCTTTCTCTCCCTTCTCTTTCTGTGTCTCCTCTCGCTCTCTCTCTCTCTCTCTCTCTCTCTCTGTCACTCCTACACCAGTGCAGGGTTTGCTGAGCACAATAACGTGTCTTTCAAAGCAGAACAATGCCTTTTCTCCTCTTTCGCCTTCTCTCCCCCATCCCTTCATCTCTCTCTCACCATCCCTCGCTCCGTGCTCCCTGTGACATCCCTGCCATGTGAGGGAGAGAGTGATGAGGAGAGGGAGAGACAGATCGCTTCTTTGTCCTCAAACGACCCTGTTGAATGTCAGCGCTGTCGTTGGGCGTGTGTGTGTGTGTTGTGTACAGGCACACACACATACACACAGACACACACACGTCGGCGTTTTGCAGCGACCCCTGACTTTAGAGTTTGATGATGTCAGCTCTGCTCAACCACACTAATAACTCTGGTGGAAGAGCTCTGTTGTTGTGAACTGTATGTTTTGATAATGTGAGCATGTATGTTTATTATGTTTATTGTGTACTTGCTTATATTTATCTAGATCTTTGAGTGCGGGCACTTACTGGCCACTTTATTTGGTTCACCCTGCTCACCTCATTGTCCATTTTATCAGCTACAGGAGCACTTTGTAGTTCTACAAATACAGACTGTAGTCCATGTGTTTCTGTGTTTACTTTGTAAACTCCCATTCAGTAGTGGTTAGGACCCCCACAGGACCAGAGCAGGTATTATTTGGGTGGTGGATCATTCTCAGCACTGCAGGGACTAAAGGGAGTGGGGTAAAAAATATACAGAGAGGCAGATACAATCTGTAATTGTAAAACTGCAAGTATTGTGGATTTGTCAGAGACAACCCTTCATTTAACTGCCAGTCAAAACAGCCATTATGTACAAATTATTCACTATTCAGGAGATATTAGATAGATTAGATACAATCCACTTGCATAAAGAAGAAAAATGGGAGTGAAAAAAAAAAGAAAATGGGACTCCTAACAACTGGGCAAGACCTGATAGTCCACCAAAACTGTCACCACCAGATAAACAGTACTTAAAGCTTTCATCTTTGAGAAATAAAGAGATAAAATCAAGCCCCACTCTTTCTTCAAGATCTGAAAAAATCCACAGTGCTTCTGTCCAAGCTGTTACTGAGAAAAAGAAATGGACAAAAAAGAACATTTGATATCAAACAAAGAAGCTGCTGATGTTCTCAGAACAATGCACTGACTACCCCAGTGTGGGTGCATTTTTACTGTATATGATAAATGGACCTGATTAAATGCTCAGTGAGTCTAGATATGATGTACACACTCAAAAAAGATGGTTCTTCATGTGTTATTTAGTAAAGTGGCTATTTAGAGCCATGAGTTCTATACAGATCTACTTCAGACTTAAAGGGTTGTTTGCATGGTGAAATGGTTCTTCAGGCTGATGGAGAATGTGTTGTATGTGGTTCTATATAGAACCTCTTGAAAATGGTTCTGTGTAGCATCAAACAGGGTTCATTCTGTTGTTACAAGCTTGACATTGTACTAAGAACAACTTCACCAGGCAAAGAACCATTTAAGCATGAAATGGTTCTATGTAGAACTCATGGTTCTAAATGGAACCACTTTCTTTACTAAAGAAGCATTGAAGAACCATCTGTTGTAAGTGTGTAGATGTACCTTATAATGAAAAGTGGCCAATGAATATGTTTATAACCAATTTGTTGCTGTGTATGTGTGTGTATGTGTGTGTGTGTGTGTGTGTGTGTGTGTCTGTGTGTGTGTGTGTAATAATCTCTTGTTCTGTGTCTGATGTGTTTTCTGGCTGCTCTCCTTGTCAACACATGTGTAGGGCACTTTCAGATTGGTCAACATTGCTTACCCACAGTGCACAGCGCTCGCTCAGAAACTCATCCATGACGTGTGTGTGTGTGTGTGTGTGGGGTCACTCTATCATATCTCTTGGAGATTATTTGCTGCCCAATTGTGTGATCTAATAAGCCCTCCTTTCAGTGTCCACTCTTGGTAGAGGCCATTCACTCTCAGCTTTGTTGCCCATGTTTATCACACTGACCATTACAATCAGTGCAGGTCTGTCAACACGGTCAAATGGAGGGATATGTTGGATAGCAGATGAAGCAAACATCGATCAGGTCTCTCTTTCATGGGTCTGTTTTGTTTGGTATGTTAGTAAGGGTCAACAGTCTTTATTCATATACAGAAATGCCTTTTGTATATATTTTTGCTATTTCTATCCTTTATATACACTAGATGTCTAAAAGTGTCCAGACACCTCATCTAATTTGGCTACTTTGTGGCGCACCCACTGCTGTTACAGGTATTCAATAGTGCACACGCAGCTCCAGAGCATCCCATTCTATTGGCAGTGCCATCCTATGGAGATTAGAAAACTACACATACAATGGGACACTTTGGAGGAGCCGCACTCAAACCTAAGGTCACCATGCTCAATGCCAAGCGTCAGCTAAAGGGTTTTAAAGCTTCCAGCATTGGACTGTGGAGCAGTAGAACTATGTTCTCTGGAGTGATGGAGCTCCATCCAATACCTTTGGGATGAGTTTATGATCCAGAATGAATCATCATACATCCTATATCCTACACCTGACCTCACTAATGCTCTTGTGGGTGACTACAATCAAATCTTCACAGCAGTGTTCCATCATCTAGTGTAGTGTTTCCAGAAGAGCAGACATTGCAAATGAGGACATATTCCCTATTGCTACCCTTGATTTCAGAAGAAACGCTGGATAAGCAGGTGTCTACAAACTTTTAGGCAGATAGGGTTTTCGGCCCGTTCTGGACTACAATTACCTTTCAATGGTGAATCTTCATTCAGAATGCTGTGAAATCCAGGACTAGGCTCAATCCCTGTCTGGGTAACTGACCCATAGCATATTACTTTGATTATATACCTAACTCAATACACTACAATAAAGCATCTGGAACCATACCATCAATGTTCTCTCTCTCTCCCTCTCTCTCTCCCCTCCCATGTCCTGATTGTGTCCTTATCTCAACCCCTCTATTTCTCTATTTATAGTCGCTCTCTCTGTCCTTTTTCTTCGTCTTGTCCATTTTACTGGAAAAGGAGGAGTGGGATAGCGACTGGGGGAGTAAAGAATGCAAAGCTTTGTCTGGAGAGGGAGAGAGAGGGGGATAGGACTCTTGTCTCTCTCTCTCTATCTCGCTCTATCTTGCTCTCTCTCTCTCCCTGCCTGTATTGTTTTGACTGGCAGACGTCAGCAGAGGAGAGGAATCTGGAGAGAGGGTAGAGATGGGGGGATGAAGAAAGAGGAGTCTTTGTCTCATCCTTTGTTCTTGTCCTGGTGAAAGGGCAAAGAGAGGAGAAATGGGGTGGGGTGAGGAGGTGACTCTCTCTCGCTCTCTCTATCTCTCGCTCTCTTGCTCGGACAGTGTGATAACATCAGAATTCATTATTTTTTTCTGCTTTAGAAAACCTGTTGCTGCACTTTGTGAAAAACAGATGCAGATTTTTAAACTGTATAAACGTATTTAAACTACTGTAAGTACTCCAAATAATATTAGCACTGACAGGAAGTACAGTTGTATGCAAAAAGTTTGAATGTCCCTGGTCAAACTATGTATTTGTTGATTTTCTAAGTAAAAATAAGTTAACACATCCTCTACGGAGAACAAATGTAAATATGACATTTTCTGCATTTTTTTGGGGGCACAATTTTGTGCTGAGCTTAAAATATTGAAAAAAAATTAAACATAAAATATAAAATGTAAGCACAAGCCATTCTTTAAATTCAGTGAATAAACAGTAAGTGTGTTCTCTGTGGAGGATGTGTTAATGTAACCCGGGGCGTCCAAACTTTTGCATACAACTGTGGAAGACTTTACTCTCGTTCTGATTGTCATTTCTATTTGCACTGTAGATGCACATGTATTCTGCTTGTGATTCATATTTGCATTGTAGGTTCGTATGTATGGATTCTGTCATGCACTATAAAGGACATTATGTTATTGTCATCTGCGACTTCTCTGCTGTGATTGTATTATTTAAAAGGTTCACTCTATAATGGCTTTTGTGACATGAAATGGCATGGATTAAAGATGAGTCCCACTCTGCTGGCGCTGACATTAAGAGAGGAGATATAATGATGTGTCAATTAAAACCAAGCCGTACATATCCTCTCCCACTCACTGACTCGTAGGCACACGCGCACACTTCTGACTTTACACTGGCCTAGACTCATTTAACTAAGCCTTTTTATCTGTCTCACTTTAGCCTTTTTAAATTGCAGTCTTGTCTTGTCAAATGGACATCATTTCTTTATTAAAAAGGGAAGAGAGAGAGAGAGAGAGAGAGAGAGAGAGAGCTTGAGCGAGAGTAAAGAGGTTCTTTAAGGTTGTTCTCTATAATATCTTGTCTTTGCAGTGTTATTAGATGGGCTTTTTTTTGAAAAGGAGTAGATGGAATGAGAAAGAGAGAGGATCAGCTGTCATAAGGCTGAGCGAGGGGTGGGGAAAGAGAGCGAGAGAGAGAGAGAGAGTGATGGATGGAGAATGAAAGAGGAGAGAACGTGGTACTAGGGCAGGGCCTGGCCTAGGGGTGGAGAAAGAGAGGGAGGAGAGTGATGGATGGATGAAGAATGAAAGAAACAATAAAGCAGTCCCAGGGCCGGGCCTGGCTCAGGGGTGTGGTTGGGTATAAACTGCGTTCACTCATCCGCATGCCCCTCGACCTCACTCCCTCCATCCCTACATTTCTCCTCCTCTCTTCTTATTCCTGGTCCTCCTGGTCTCTGCTCTTCCACAAGCTGCCCGGCGGGGACGTCAGACGGAAGCCATGCTAACTATACTGGTGCTCACAGCTGCGGTGCTGCTCGGTGCAGGTAACTTTTCAGAACTTTTCTTTTTATGTGAATTAAACGTAACATATATAATAACACATTTAATTCACTTTTAATGAACATAACTGAATCATTCATTAGTTTTTTTGGCCTACTTTGATTTCCATTCTTTTAAACTTTGCTGGTGACTAAAAATTGTTGTGACTTTATTTGTATGTTTATGGCTATTTATTTAGCAAAATCATGTTCAAATAATCAAATAATTAAATAAATAAATATGTTTTTAGTTATTTATTTACTCATTTAAAGATATAATATATAAAGTTATTTAAAGTTTATTTAATCAGTAAAAATATGTTTGAATAACTACTGATTTTGCTAGTAAGTAAATAACTTTCAGTAACTTTATTTAAAGTAGTTTATTTGACCTGCAGGTTTCATGTTTGAATAACTTGTGATTTTGTGATAAATAGCTTTAAATAAAGTTATTGAGAGTTGTTTATTTAATTAGCAAACTTAATGTGTATTTAAGCATGATTTTTTAAAAATATGGTTATTGAAAGTTACTCATTTCATTAGAAAAAAGAATAATTTATTTTTCTTTACTTTAATATGACTTGCTTGTCATTACCATGATTTTATTTGATCTGGTTGACATGGTAAAATTTTAATGCTAATCAAAAATTCACTTTGCTCAGGTGGAAACTGCTAAAACATGGTTTAACTGTGTTGGGTTGGTCTTGTCAGGTCTGCGATTATTGCAGGAAACCTATAAATTACAAATGAGTACTTTGTGTTCTGTTGTTTGCTTACTTGTTATTTACTTAATTTATATATTAAATATTAGATTAGATCACTATCTAGTATTTTTGTCCAGAGTTTAGCTTAATTGCTAATATGAACTTTTATGAACTTGTTTTTTTTTTTCTTTTCCTTTTCTATCTGGTTAGTATTCTTGTTTTGTTTAAAGCATAATTGTGAACTCTGTCAGGAACAGGAATGTTATAAAGAGCCAGATCATCCATCATCTTCAGTAATACATGTAATCACAGCAGGTGTTCAGGGTCTGACACTAGTGACTCATGTTGATGTTCGTGATGAAATTATGGCTTTTATAGCTTTTATGATCACGAGTATGTAAAACCACTGCAGCTTCATTAACATATGTATATTTTTGAGGTGTAAATTAAAAGTCTTTAAGGTTATAAAAATACTCATTGAATTTTGATGTACCTTATACCATAATACCTTCTTTTGTTTTCTCACTGCTTATATTTGGAATAATTCATTATAAAATAAAGGAATAAATAAATACTGTAAATAAGAAATATCTGTAATGAAAATCTATGACAAATGCAATTAAGGTACAACATCTTATTCATTCGTTTACAATTCCAATGTACAGATCTGTTTTTATATTTATGAGAATTAGTCCAATTATACTGAATAGTGTTTTAATGGAGAGACAAAGTCTTACTTCTCATTAAGTTCACTTAATATCTTTTATTAACTAAAATAGTTTTAATTGCATTTGTCATAGCTTTTTCAACTTTATAGTGTAACTTGATGAATATAACTATATTACTTGATTATGCAAACCTAAACTGTTCTCAATTTATTTTTAAATGTACAATTGTCTTGCTAATTAAGTTGATAAATTTAAGCAGTTTTCATAATTTCACAGATTAATTTGTTATTAATATTTGAGAAAGCTATTTGTGTCAAATTGAATGTACTAACTTGTTCACTGTAATTACTTGTCTAGTATAGGAAAGTATTCCTTTAAAATCTCTTAAATATTGTTTATGCATGAGTCTGCATAATTAATATGTGGGAATGAGCGAGGTGATTAAAGAGCGAGTTAGCACTGATGTCTTTGTGTTTTTAAAAGAACAAAAAAACCTACAGTGGCTTTAGATTCGTTCTGTCGCTTATCCAACTGCTTGTTTTCTGTTCTATGAACTGCAGCTTTAATCAGTGTAATCAGGGTTGCGTTCTTCTGCATAACAAAACAGTAATGAGGACTTTAATTGATTATGATCTAATTTATCTATTAGTTAATTGACTGTTTTGTCCTTTAAATAGATTATCGCTGTCAGAACAAAAGCTTTTATCTCCAGAAAGATAGCTTTATAGAGAAAGGAAAAAAAAAACATTTGAATTTGAAATTGAATGGAGGTCAATGAGACAAAATTCTAATGTAGCTCATTTTGGACCATTTCTATTGGTCCATTCATCAAGAAATTTTGATGGTGAACTTCAGCTTGCAATACAAGGTTTTGTTCTGACAGTGAAGATCCTGTATATGCAGTGTGCAAAAGTTGTGCCCCAGTAGAATAACATGTTTTGTTGATTTTGTAAGTGAAAATAAGTTATTACATCCTCTTCAAACTTCTGCAAATTCAAATACACATGCAATGTTTATTTGCTGAATTTGGGAGGAAAAAAAATAAAACATAAATGTGGCCTGTGCAAAAGTTGCAAAGTACACATTTTATATTTTATATATTTTTTTCCAATATGTTGAACTTAGTGAATAAACAGACATTATGCACATATGCATTAGCAAAAAAACACCATATTTAAGTTCCCTGTAGTGAATGTGTTCCATACATCTTTCCATATGACTGTATACACATTGTGCAGTTCACAGAAAAGTTTGAATGTGCACTTTCATGGTTGAGATGATTAAACCAATGCTGTGTGTTTTTGTTTCAGCACCTCAGTCAGAGGCTATAGTGGTATACACAGGCTGGGAGAGGCATGCTCTCGTGGGCTCGGATGTCCGGCTGTCCTGCTCTTTCTTCTCCTGGCGATGGACTTCTGAAGATGTCACCTTCTCCTGGAGCTACAGACCAGATGGGGCCAAAGACAGCATCTCAGTACGTCCACACACACTCGCACGCTCTCATCACAAATTCTCCTAGAGCTGCAGATCAGACAGACCTGAGACATCATCTCACTTCATATTCAAGCATGCATTTCATATTTTGAACAGTATTTCAGCACATGTTCAAGCTTCCTTTGAAGCTTCAGACCAAACACAACAAGAAGCAGCATCTTTGTGGCCTACGCATTATTCACATGCACAAGCACACATACATTTGATGGCATCTCTGGGTTAGTTAGGTATTCAAAACCACACTACTGCAACAAACATAAAGGTTTTCTACTGTAACAAAAAGTACATAAGTAGAAGCTGAAATAGTCTTTATGAAGCAAAATATCAAATCAAAGAACATTTTTTAGTTTACCATGTTACTTTGATTTAAATGATGTGTTTTATTTTGAGCATTAAATACCTCAGTAAAGCTGCACTATGTAAGTTCTGGGGATTTGGAGACCTCTCTGGTGGAAATGAGTAATTGCATGCAACATGCAGAAGAACATTGTGACGTTGTTTGGGCTTTGGACCCCTTCCCTGAGCAGATGAATCTGATGATTGCAAGTTGAAAAGAATATTCAAAGAGAATTCAGTCAAAACCTGGTGAAGGATGTGGATCTTCTTTTGAGCCCGTGCATGACGTTATTACTTAAAGACGTATGACGAAAACTCCGACCTGATGTCTTTGACTTTTAAACTACTTCAGGCTTTACAGGGTTACTCACATCAGTGCACACACACCAAAATTTAGTGTGTTTTTTTCTTCCTAACACAGTTATGCTACATCGTTTAATTTGAACAACAACAAAAAAAAAACCTAGTGCACCTTTAAGTAATCATTTTGTAAGACTAGTTATCCATGACAGTGTTGTTTTTTGTAAGTGTTGATCAGGGCCACCAGCAGCAGGGTTCAGTCAGCAACAGAAACTGTTAATCAAATTAACTTTATAGCAATAACTAAATTATAATATACAAACACAGCGTACATGTTTTCTGATAAATATACTGGCATAAAAGTGAAAAAAATATTGGTCCCCAAACAACAATCAGGTCCCATAATTTAGGTAATTTTAATTTTCTGAAATTTCATTCTTTAGAATAAGTCTTACCAATGCAGTCACATCGATTCTTTTGCTTTTTTATTCTTTTAGAACCTAGAACACCCTCCCAACCTTACACATTAGATTAAGTTTTTTAATCAATTTTAGTAAAAAGCTGTGCACCCTATCTTGGCTGATTAATTTGATTGTGGTATTTTTAGCAAACAATAACTCAAGCACATGTTGATGAACTACACTGTGAAAAATAAAGTGTTTACACATAAAGTAAAATAACAGTCAAAGAGTTCAGTTTCTGAACTCTTGATTGGAGCACCTAAAGGAAATATTTCACATGTGGAAAAGCAGTGCAATTCCAAATGTATGTAAAGTATTCAACATTTATTACTTAGAGCATGTATTCCTTTAAATTATAGTAGATCTTTGGTGTTAAAATCTATAATGAAATGCATTTTGAAAGTATTGTCCCAGGCAAATACAGTTGGAACCTAACTCCCTAACCTATACCTAACTTGTTTTTTCTATAGCAAATACATTGAATAACTTTGTAAAAATGTTTTAAACATTTTAAATGGGTATTTTTCTTAGGAACAGCATAATGTATCCTGTGCATGTATATGTAAATGTAAAATATAAGGTTGCTAAACAAATGAATGCACTGTAGACTAGATAAGGAATCATTTAGCAAAAAATCAAATTGACATAATTTATCACTTACCCTGGATGCAGTTGATTAGCCAAGACAAGTTTGATATCTGACGTGTGCTTCTTTAGTCCACAACAGGAGATGCTAAGCTAACTTTGCTAACAAACACTGAACTGGCGTTGTCATCAAACTCATCTCGGTAAATACATGCCCAAAAACCTCTCTTAGCTGCTCAAAACGCTTCCAGATCTTTGTTTGTTTAATGCAGGAACACTGATGTCGTTTAGATCATGATATGACATACTTGTCTGTAAAAATAAACATGAACTTCTCCACATAGGTGAATGATGGGGCAGCCGTCGTGAGCAATTGGAACCACTTTTACCTCAGCACAAAATGTAGTATTCCGTGCAAGATGAACAAAGGCAGGGCTATGTGATTTCCTAAACACATAGATGCAGAGAAGCTAAGCTATTGTACTTGGAAAATCAAAACAATGAGGGCGTTTACATGCAATTAATGATCTGATAACTGCAGAAGATCAGATTTTGTCATTAACTCAATCGGCATATTTACATGCACTTGTACAGCATCTAGAAGAATAGAATAATTTAATTTCATCAAGAATCACTTCATCAAACATGATGTCAGTTTCAGCATTGCTCTAACATTGTTGTGTTGCAGTCTCATGGGTGCTGTGTTAAATGCTACTTGCTTATTTCTGGTACCGCAGTGTGTTTTTTTGCACATGCGCAGACTGAGAAAACTGAAAGAAATCAGAGTAAGAGTATATATGTGCTGAAAAACCTGATTACTGATATAGATTGCGCATCAGTGAGCCCTCTCGCCGGTTTGTGCTTTGTGTATCCTCAGACCACTGTTGGTAGGTACTTACCACTGCTCACTGGAGCACCCCTCAAGCCTTGCCATTTTGGAGATGCTCTGATCCAGATGTCTGGCCATAATGATTTGGTCCTTGGAAAAGTCGCTCAGGTCTTCATGCTTGCCTATTTCTTAAGCATCCAACACGTTGGCTACGAGAACCAACTGTTCAGCTACTGTTTAATATATCCCAGACCTTGAAGTGCGCTGTTGTTACGAGATAATCAAAGTCATTCACTTCATCTGTGAGCAGTCATAAAGTGTTGGCTCATTGGTGAATGTTATACAATTATACAAACTCAGTTATCACGAACCCAGTGAGAACGAATGCTATAGTGATATGTCAAAAACTGCCGATGTTTATTGTTAGTGTCAAGGAGTTGCTTAGGAGCTGAACTACATTTCCTAGTATTCCTTGGTAGATGAATTACAGAAATGATTTTGGATTAAACAATGTTCCAAAACACGAGGCTCAGTGCCAGTGGGTCTATGATGACGTTAGTTTTGATGTTAGTATGGTAGTATGCAGTTGCAAACATACATGGTTAAATTATTTTGTTCATAAATCTAAGCTACTTGTTTATTTTTTCCCATTTCAGAGAACAGACTTATTATACGACATTTTTCTCTAAATTTTAATGCTTTTGCATACAACTTTGTATTAATACATTTATGTATGATATTGTCAACTCTGTGGTCTATTGACATGTATGTGATTGGTCAGATTTTCCATTACACGGGTGGAGTTCCCTACGTGGATAATAAGGGGCCATTCCGGGACCGCCTGGAGTTTGTGGGGAATCCTGCTCGCCGTGATGGATCTATCCTGATCCGGAATCTCGACTTTAGTGACAACGGAACCTTCACCTGTGATGCCAAGAACCCTCCTGACATAGTGGGCCGTCCCTCCAGTGTACGACTTCTGGTATTCGAGAAAAGTAAGAAGTTGTCATTGTCTTCATCATCGTTGTTGTCACTGCTGTGTCTCCAGTTTGGGTCAGTGAAAGACTATAATGTAGGGATGCGCTGATGTAGAATTTGTGGGCCAATGAATCAGCAGACAGTTTGACAGTTTATGGCCAATACAAAGACCAATAACCATTCATTATTTTCAACTTTACACTATAAATCCATATATAAAGGGCAGTAAGCATATGACAGGTTAAAGCTCTGATAGACTATTGGTTAATTTTACATAACATGCCACAGCTAAATTAAACTGTGTATTTTATGTTGTTTATCAGACTTCCAGAGCCACTTATGGTGGCAACTGAATGTAATGCTAGATGTCTTGCCCAAGAAGTCTTATTGGTGTACTCATGGTGTTATTGTTTGTGACTGGGGAATGAAACTGGTCTCCTGTGTCTGTGGTGTTATCCCCTATGCTATCCATTTTAGTGAATTGAAAAGCATGCCTGCCACTAGTGACTATACAGTGCATGCACAAACCAAATAAGGTGCTAAAATGATGGTTTGTGTAAGTCCAGTATCAGATCAGTAAGAATAATATTTCAGTTTTCGCATATATTGGACAATAATATATCTGCCGCTGATATATCATGCACCTGTATTATAAATTCTCTAGTAATATCTCTTGCTGATGTTTTCAGTTTTCATCTTACCATCCTTCTTTCTCTCCGCAGTTCCAATCCAGGCCGGAGTGATAACAGGAGCGATCATCGGGGTGGTTTTGGGTTTACTGATTCTGGTGGTGGCTATTTACTATCTGATGCGTTTCCTGGTGGCCAGACGCGTCTTCGACCTGAGTGTGAGGTCAGTCTGGGAACGTTTGCTTCCTCAAGCACGTCCCGAACCTCTACCTGGCATAGACACACATACAAATGTACAGGCACATACCCTCATCAAGACCTTGACCAAGTCCCCTCAGGTTTTACATAAACAAAAGAATATCCACATGCACACTTTCAGCAAGGCCAAGGCGCATCCTTTACCTAGCCACAATGCACCCACACACGTCTATGCCAAGGCCAAGGCTGGGCCACTATTCCCTGTTCCAGGCGGCAGTGTGGTTAAGCCAAAGAGCTAGAAAGCAGTTCACTCCCCCCGACCACCAGAGGGCCACGGCACTCACGCTAAATTATTTGTGTTTCTGTTCCCTCAGCAAACATGGCAAGAAAGGCAAAGGAAAAGAAGCACAGCAAAGACAGGCAAGTGCTCATCTGCTACCACACACTCACACCTTACACACACTCCCACATGCACATACACCACCTCACCTACAAATAACCAAGTCTGCTTTGGCTCCTTTAAAGATCTCCTCCCCTCTTCTGCTCACCTCTTCACTCACTCTACCTGTCAGTAGAATATTTAGAATGCATTTATTATATATGTCTATGTGTGAACATCAAAGAAATATGTACACACTAGGGATGCACTGAAAATTTGGGCCAAAAAGGGTAAAAAAAATGAGGGCCAAAAATGGCACTTTCGCTTTTGAAAGAGAAAAATGGCCGAAAGTTTTGAACGAAACAAAGATTAAATAGGCCTACAACAAAGCATCAAAATCAAACAATTTTCAAATAATTTAATGGTAATACAACTGAGAAATAATCTCTGTGAGTTATCAAGAGGTTATACAAAATCGAAGAACATCATTACACTATTAAGACCATTGGAAAACACAACATCCCACTCAATATGCAGAATAAAGCAAAACAGAAGCAGACAGGAAAATCCCTGCTAGCATGCTAACACTGTAGATGTAACACTCTGTAGGCTGAGTTTTTGAAATAATTAAAAAATTAAACCAACAGTTCCAATATACATAGCACAATTTAAAAAATAATGGTATTCATTGCTTTGCATTGCAAGCATTTTGTGGCATGTATTGTTGCCAGTAAGTAAATAAAATTATTTATTTTGATAGTAATTTTATTATATGCAGACTTTTTATTTATTGACAGCCTTTCCCAGTTATCGGTTTTGGTTTTAGGCCAAGAATTTCCATTTATCACTAGCAGACACCTCATATTTTTGGGCATGAGTTTCTGTAAAAGGAGCTAGCTACTAGTTAGTAACTGCTAAGTTAGATAAGTTGTCTGAATTAGTTGAGTCAACATTAACTTTATTTAAATGCGTAGATAAGTTTTAACCTCCTCCATTTATTTCAGTTTGGTCTGCTCAGCAGCACCAAGCCCCTGCTCTAGTAGCTACATTTCTTTGCTTGCAAGACCTTTCAATCAAGGTATTGAACAGCATGCATATGAAGGTCATTTCCAATGGCAGACATGTCTTAGCATGTCCTGGAAGCACAAAATAGTGTTTCTCAAAGGCTGCTTTCCACATTGTTAAACTGAGACAGTAGGTAAAAGTCAATGGCAAAGTTTATTGTCTACCTCAGGGGTCCCCAACCCTGGACCTTGGGGTACCCCCTGGCTGGTACACTAGAGTGTTTTTCCTGCTTCCAGCACCCTGATCCAACTTAATCAGTTCATTAGCAAGCCATTATTGAGTTGAAGTGGGTTAAAGCAGGAAAATACAAAGGTGTGCAGGCCAGAGGTTTTCCAGGACCACGGTTGGGAACCTGTGGTCTGTCTCAGTGGTTGTTCTCCACTATGAATGCCAGCTGTATTTTTTTAACATGCCCTCACCAACACACCACTTGAAATTACAACAATCCTACATTACAAGAGTGGCCTGTCATAGAACAGGGAGAGGAGAGGACAGCAAGAAATAGATCTTTCTACTTTGTAGAACCCATGCCATTGGCACTAACACACACCAATAGCAATGAGTTTTGAACTGTGTTGATAACAATCAGGATGGTCTTCTTGCTCTTGGGAGAGCACAACATCTATTATTTCCAAAAACAAATCTGAAAAGTGGACGTCAGTCTATTTTAGAAGAGCTTTAGCCCAGAGAAGTTGGTGGCGTTTCTGGATATTGTTGATACATGGCTTCCACTTTATAAGTCTTAACTTGCATTTTTAGATGCAGCGATGAACTGTGTTTACTGACTTCTATGATTTTCTGAAGTATTACCAAATCATTGTGGTTATATTTATTATACAGTAGAGGTGCTACGGACTGGGTTCGCTCACACAGTTTTTGCAAAACAGTGACTGAGCCTTAAATGTGAATGCTCCTTTTATACCCAATTATAACAGCATCGCCTGTTAACATATTCACCTGTAGAAAGTTCCAAAACAGTGGCTTTGATCATTCCACAAACTGTGTTGCAGGCATAAAATTTACATATATTACAGTTGCAGGCATCAAATTTACATGTATTTACAGTTCTATATTTAAAGTTGATAAGGTAAAATATGAAAAATCCCTTTTTTGTGCTGTTTTCAATTCAATGCCTGTGAAAGTCCATTTAGAAATCACTGCTTTATGTTTTTGTTTTGTTTTGTTTTTTTCATTTTACCTACTGTCCCAATTTTTTCGGCTTGTACAAGGATTTTTTAAGGACAGTTGGATAGAATGAGCAAGATAACATTCATTAATTTGCATATAATTTGGCTTATTCGGCCATAAGAAGTACTGATTTCATCTTTACATGCATAAATTCCAGGCTTTTTCTAAAATATAACTTCAGGTCAGGTAATTGAAAACAGAATCATTAGAGTATATGAGAATCACATAAAGGAAGATTTCTTTCCTAGTATATATCCAGTTATGTCATAAGCTGGCATTCAAATGGAGTTTAACATACCATACACACACACACACACACACACACACACACACACACACACACACACAGACACACAGACACACACACACATCCTCACTGTCTGTCTCTGTTTCTCATTTGCACTTCTCCATGCCTTCATCTCTTGCTTTCCTCATTTATCTGTCTCTTTTTGGGTGTCTTCTTCATTTCCACGCTCTCTCTCTCTCCTCTCTTCAGGTGCACATTAAGACGCTGTTGGATTTTATGATTGTCATGTATTGCTCAGTATAAATACTAACCGTGTAATCATCTACAGCCAACACACTACCTCTCTCATATGCTGTACTTAAGAGGGAAAATCAAACTAGACTGAAAGAGTTTTAAAGAACTCTATAAATGATACCTGTCTTCCTTTGCAGTCTATCTCTCTCTATCTATGTACCTATCTATTCATCTATCCATCTATCTATCCGTCCACCTACCTTCTCCACCTTCACCCCATTGTCTATATGTATTGCCTCCTGTCAGCTTCAGTCTACATTTCTTTCTTTTTCCCCCTCTTTCTTTCTTTTTCACCCTCTCTGTCTGCTGAAGTCCAATCTCTGTCAGTTGAGGAGCACTGTAGGCTGGAAATTATTTCCTTTGACTTTTAGGATCAGTTTTACACTGATCACAGAGAGAGAATCTTGAATATATATGACCAACTAATGTTTAAGGCAAGTGCTCTGGATGAATTTCTTTTCAAACAGAATGGCCCTAACGTAGCTGCAGCAATGTTCCAGCAGACTAGAAGATGTCAACTTGACATCACTAAAAACAAAACTGACAGTCAGTCCTAATACTTATAAAAGGGCCATAATTGACCTAGCCATGCTCCGCCTTTAAAAATGCACTCTTTTGTAGCAGCTGCTTGGTTGGATAAACTTTACAGAATGTTGGCAAAAATCTCTTTCTGCCTCATGAGAAATGGCAACTCTGTTTTGTCACAATAGTTAAAGTGTCTTTTCAAATTATATTTATTTAGCATGCATCTATAACTTTCCTTACAGTTGCAGCAGCATCCATGAGTAAATCATCTCTTGACTTCAGGATTTTAGTATGCAGTGCTGTAACTAATGGAGGGGCAGAGGGAGCAATCACACTGGGGCCCACTGGGCTAGCTAAAATGTTTATTGGGCCCCTCATATAGATACTGACACAATTACACACTCATGAGTCAAAGAAAGATCCAGTTTCTTAACAACATACCTCAACAGTTAGCAAGCCCTTGAGAGCATGAACTTATTTGAGAAATAACAATAACGAACAGGATTCATTTGTTTTTGCACTGGGGCCCATAAGATCCTAGTTACATTACTGTCATTGTATAGTTGCTGTAAAGTACAACAAGGAAAATGTTGTCAACAAATCCCTTGACCCATGGTCACGTTAGCAGGCGACAGCAACAGGCGACCAGTCATTTACAGTGAGAATAGGCGATTTGTGGCTGCGGTTTAGCAACAAGCAACAGGCGGCATGGTGATGGGCCAACAAGAGACAAATCGAGTTGAGATTTTCTCAGCTTTATGCAAATAAATTATGACATAGTGATGCGACAATCTAAATGATTCAGTCCAAAAATTCCTCTGAATTGCCTGAGGTCCCTACACTCTATATTGGCATTCATCGTTGGGGGTAGGGGTGGAGGGGTGAGATTAATTCTGAACTTTAAGTTCCTCCCAGTTTCGTTCCTATTCCCAACAGTACCATGCAAACAATCAACGAGAAACAGATAAACTAAATGTATATCTAATGTTTATAATAAAACAGTGATACACATAGTAGACATTTATACATTTTCTTATCAGGAACCACCCACATGTGAACAAAAGAGGAGCCTCAAATACACCCACAAGAGACAAAATACAGGCAACGCTAATGACTAATGTAAACATACAGCTAGAGTATTACCAGCCATGCTATAGTAGAGGTGTAGAGTTTATGTTAACTTTGCTACCTTGAGCCGGTGCTCTGAAGTGACAATCTAAATGACTGAGTCAAGGCCTGTATAAAATAAACTGAGTTGTGAATGTGAGTTTTGCCAATGTTCTCTTGTCTAAGCTAGCTACAACAGTACCTCCGAGCATGGACAGGTCAATTAGTCTTACTGTACTAATGATATCTACTGCTGTAATATTATTACGTAAAAAGTCTCCATATATTGAGAAGGCTCAGGGGGCAGGTGTGTGAGGGTTCTCGTGTGTGTAGGTGCTGTGATTGTCATGCTGTCACTCTCTCTCTGACTGACTGACGGCTTCCTGTTTTGTCCTCCCTTCCAGACACCGAGAGTTCCCCTCGTTTACCTCTCCTTCTAACTGCTTGTTTGCTTTTTTCCTCTTTTCCACCTCTTTCTTCTTCTCTCTCGCTTCCATAACAAAGACTACCTCGTTCTCCTTCTGCATTTCTGTTAAACTTCACCGCCTCACCAAACCTAACAAACACCTTCTCTTCTTTTGCTCTCTCTCTCTCTCTCTCTCTCTCTCTCTCTCTCTCTTCCACTCTTTCCACTGTTTCTCTTCTTTTGCTCTTCCTTCCTCTTACTTATCCTCTGACTCTCGTTCTCAACTTTTTCTCTTTTGTTCCTTTTCTTCTACTCTCTCTCTTTCTCTCTCTCTCTCTTTCTCTCTCCCTCTCACTCCTGCCATAGTGACTCTATCCTCCCCTCCCCACGCTCCCTCTCTCTCCCCAGGCTTCTGTTCTGGTGGAACCGGCCAAGCAGAAGGCGGCAGCATCCGAGAAGAAGAAGCAGGAGTCTCGCAGGGAAAAGAAATAGGGGTCAGGGAGCAGAGAGCTAGAGCTGCAGGGCAAGGGGGCCAAGCACCTGCCCGCAGCCCAGGGCAGGCAGGCCAGGGAGGACAGGGTCCTTATGACCATCGAGCTGGAGCTCATGAAACAAGAGCAGACCGGAGGAGGAGAAGGAGGAGAGAAGGCCAAGACTAGGTCCGCTGCCCTTCTCTCCACCCTCTCCAACCTCGGCCACAAAATCACTCTCCGCTGAGGAAGCGAGGGACGGAAGGAGGGTGAGGAGGGGTGGTAGAATAGGCCTTGAAGAGGTGGAGAAGGAGAGAGGAGTGGAGTAAACCCTAATTTGGCCTGAACATAATTCACACAAGTATACAAACGTTTGAGTTAACTCTATCACGTCATTGCATTCTACAAATGTCATAATACAATTCAAAATAGATCTCAAGCTTCATTTTGAAGGCTACCGTGTGCAGCATCCAAACATTCGATACCGTTGATTAATGAAGGGCCACACCACTCCTGAACGACTTCCAGCACTGCTCAATTTCTCTGAGCTACACAGCCCTCCACTTACTTTTTGTACAACTATGCAAAATTAAACCTGGAATCAGACCACAAAAATCAATAGCATGTGACATTAGCAGGCGACGTAGCTACACCTAAAATCTTTAAGATAAATAGACAAATGCTAAGGTTCTGTTTTCACCTCAGCTAATGTCGCTAGCCTAATCTGTTTTCACCTAGCTTGAAAATGGTGGGTTTGTGAAGAGTTCGTTGACAAATTCACTGTTGTTGGAAGTTGTTCCATTAGATCTATACAAGCAGAGTATGAACTGAACTGTTTATTAGCACTTTCACTGTGATGCATTCTATGCAGTATAGTTGTACTATCCGCTACGCAGTGCTATGCTGCGGCGCCACGCCGCCGGTGTTCAGTGGCCTTAAGTTTTGCAGCAAGGAGTGCTCTCTGTTGACATGTTTACTGTTAGTTCTATTGGAATAATAGTAGGTTCACCAACACTGACTTATACGCTATCACCCTCTTTCAGTACTAAGGTTTATAAATGCCACCATGACGTAAAAATGAGCATAGAGTTTGTACAACGGGCCACACACTTGCACTGCATTGGCCCACAAAAAAGACATCTAGATATGCAGCAGTTTGGTACTTTAAACAGTAAGGAGCCCAGTATCACTGATTCTATATTAACCACTGTATAAACTCGTATGTCATCAAAAATGGAAAAAATCTATCAAGACTTGAGTAAAACACAAATACACAAACACATAGCACGACTCATATTCATGCACACACTGCATTTGAGAAAGGCAGAATGGTGAAGCGTAAAATTATTCTGCCATTTCTCTCTCTCTCTCTCTCTCTCTTTCTCTCTCTCTCTCTCTCTCTCTCTCTCTCTGACTCATTCAATGGATAATCACTCTCTGTCTGGATAATCTCTAGTGCAACCCCCACAATATACATCTTCAAACACTTTCACACGCACAAACACTACCACTTTCCTGTCATATTTCTTTTGTGCTGGTCTTTGAGGGGACTCTTTCCCCATCTATAGACCTCTGTCGTGTCCTTAGTCTGTAGTTAGCATCATGCCCATATAAGGAACATCAAGTCTAAGCTGGTTTCCTCTATGGGAAAAATGACTGCTGCTAGCATTTCTTGTGGTAAACAAAAATGTTCCAAAGCTGTTTTGCCGTACGGACATTTTTCCTTTGAATGTCACACAGATCCTCTGAATAATTATGTCATTAAAGCTGAAATTTGACTGTTGCTACATGCAAGCTAACACTGCTGTGCACTGAATTGGCGACCTCACCAAATTACCCACCAAAAACCAGAAAGCTTTGTCAAATTTGTTAGTAGCTTTTTCAAATGTTAGCAATAGTAGCTGGTGTTGTTATATAACAGTGTGATAGTAATAATAGACTCATTGTTGTTAATAGTAATAGTGTAATAGTAGTAATAGACTTACTTTCATGCGATGTCATTTCACTGCGCAGGAGCGATAGCTCGCTTGAAGCGCATACATAGCATTATTTGTAGTTCAACTGCTAACTGACCTTATAATTCAAAGGATCTGGCAGGATATTCACACAGGACAAAATGTTTCAGGTTTGGAATATTTCTATTTTTATATTAAAATATTAAAATTTTTCCCATAGAGGAAACCTGCTTAGGCTCAGAGTTCCTAATATGGGCATGATGCTGACCACAGAATGACACACAACTTCAGAGGTCTCTTTATCCTTTATAGACTGCTCTGGACATCCTTTATTAAATGTCTCTTTCTTCTTTTTCTTTCTCTCCTCCCCTCCCTCTTTCTTTGTCTTTCTCTACCTCTGTCTCCATTTCCTTTCCTCTAAACCCTTCTAATTTGTGCTTCACCTCTCATAATTGAACGACTGGTGCTATGATATCACATCCTGTTCCACTGTAGGCTGGCCCTTCAAAGTAACCCCACCCACCCTCGTCATTTGTTAAGGGCTAAACACACAAAGAACACGCAAAATAGATAAACACCCTGTCTGCAGTGAAATCCCTGCCTGTGTCCAATCTGAGAAAATACATTCTTTCTTCAAAAGCTCCACGTGATTATGTTTGTTTTAGCCCACACCGCACTCTAGAGCTGCCTCCATCTGCAGAACGAATCTTAAATCCATGTGCACCACTAAAAAAAGACCCATGTCTCTCTCTCGCTGTGGGGATGAAGGTATTTTTGGTTCAGTCAGGGTGTAACGCAGCAGACCCACAGCTGCACCCATGACGTAGCGAGGAGTGTGTGTCTGTGTGTGTTACCATGTATATGCTGCTCTGACTGCAGCGACTGAACCTCCAGAATGACGTTGATACTGCTGGCAGAGTGTGTGAACATACAAATGTGTATAGACATGCAAAACACACGCTAGCAGAGAATGGGGACTACTGTGTATATATATATATATATATATATATGTATACACATGTATTTATATTTACATATATATATCTATATATCTATATATATATATATATATATATATATATATATATATATATAAAGGGTTTCAAAGTCTGAGAGCACATTAAAAAATCTGATACTTTTCTCATTTAAACCTGGAATTATCAGGGGAAAAACACTTAAAAAACAAGAAAAAATTAGCATGTCTTTGCTGCACAAACTTGTGGAATCGAGTGGGCGCAGTCATTAAAGCAAATTTGAAGCATCACCAGTGGTCTCAGACTTTTTAATTTTTGGACTATGTATGCAGTAAAGTCCCTCCTCTCTCTTCCTCTCCTTCATTCACTCTCTGTCTGCTTTGTCCTGAGGTGAGTTTTTCATTTTTAAAATCTCCACACATCTCTCACTCATTCACTCCATCAAGCCATCGTGGTTTTCCCATCACTCCTCCTTTCACAAAACCGCCCCTGCACTCTTCTCCTCTCCCTCTTTCATCCCTCACTCCTGCTGGATGCACCGCTCACTCCTGCCACCTACTGCCCTCAACGGGAAACTCTCATTCGGCCTCAACGTCCTGATGACGGCAAAGCCAAAAAGCTAATATACCTAGCTCTCTGCTGACCGCGAAAGATATGTTTTTTTTTCATGTGTTTGTGTACATACGTTTCTAGTCCGACAACACGTCTGTAACCCGTCGAGATAAGAACAAAACCTAGAAGCAGCAGTGGAAAAATTGGTCACTGCACTGTATTTAGCTAATGCTAGTGCAATAGTACACTGGACTTTGTGTGCGAAGCGGAAATGTAATTGTATTTAATGATATTTATATCTGCACTTTGTTTTGACTGACATGGTAGGATTCATATGGCTGTTTTTATGCATGTTTTTCTTCATCAGGGTGTTAGCATGCTAAGCTTCAGGAAGTACTCCCACTGGGAGAGGAAGTAATGGTTAAGTTAGCGAGTTAGCATAATTCAGATGTTCATAAAATTAGACAAAGACTTGGCGTGAAGTCATATCTGAGTGAAAAGTCAAAGCCAAAGTCCTTTAAACTCCACAGTCACGCAAGATATGTTTCTAAGGCCAAGTCTTGGTCCCTAAAACCCACTGTGAGTTATGGAAGGGTTCTGATTTGGAATGTTGAAGGCACTGAATGCACTGCAGAACTCTATGGTGCTTCTGGGAATTGTAGTTGTTGCTAAACACCAAAGGTTTTGAAAGTTAGATGCTTTTTATGCATCTCAGACTAGATCATAAACAGCCACATGCTTCCCTCCATTAAAACTACATTAAAATACGGGACAGTTTCCATGTTGTATGTATCGTGTACATGTACATGTATTGCTATAGATTTTCTGATAACACTCCTTTTCCCTCATATGCCATTCACAGTTTCTAATAATTTTTTAGGTTTATTTTGATGTTAACATAACTAGGCTATTACGGATTTTTTTGTTCTGTAAAATGTGTTGTAAAAAGTAAAATAAATCTCAAGTTAAAAATTGTAGTCATTTAAGGAAAAACATCAATAAAATCAGAAGTGACCTGTCTCTGTTTTCTTTCCTCCATCCATCTCGTGCTGTAGCATTGGTGTATGGTGATTTCGGGTCAATCTGGCAGGGATAAAGAAAAAGAAGAATTTCATGAATTTTTAAATTTCATAATGAAATACTTGAGATGTAAACACAATCCATTTAGAGTGGTTTGATGTGAAATGCTCTGTTCTAGAGAAACTTACCAAGTCAGAACTGGTATTAGTAGGAACCAGTTGTCTGAGCATTTAAGCGTTCTCACAGAAAGTTATTACACAAAATGTAATAATACACTGCTTGATGCCTGAGACATTGTTTCACGGTAGTTTTGAGATAATGTTTTTGGCCTAAAAAAGAAAACGTCTTGATTTGAATTTACCACTGTTTTCTTATATATTATGTATTATATATTATATTTGGGTATATTTGCAACATCTCAACCCTTGGTTCCCATCACCACCACTGGAAAGAAAAGAGTTGGTAAGTTTCTCTACAATGAACTATTTCACATCTAGCCACTCCGAATGACATTGTTTACATCTCAATGACTGAATCATGCAGAAATTTCCAAAATGGAATTTCCCTTTAAAGGACACATATCTGAAAAACTGGATCAAAATTCTTTAAATGTTCTTTAAAACTCTGTGTTGATAATGTGCCATGCATACAATACACCATTATCCTGTAGTTTCTCTCCAGAAAAAATATGACCTGTTTACAATGTTTACAATCACGACTTGTTTACAAAAATGGCAACAGTTGTGACGTAGATCCTGGGTTTTATTAGAGCAGGTGAAGTCTCTAAAATGTGCTATTAGTTCCACCAAGAACTGCTTCCATGTTTTGCTAGCAAGGACAGAACATGAGTAAGAAAGGCCATGATAAATGTGCTGTTGCTTGCTTTCCATCAGCCAAGAGCTTTTTGCAGCAGCTAAAAAAAACAAGCTGCTGTCCTTCATTTAGAATGATATTCCAGCCAAAGTCAGTGCCTTTTGCTCAGTGCATATCAGGGAAAAACAAAATTTCCTCACTTTTTGTAAATACAGGTTTGATGTAGTAAGTAAACACTGTCAAAGGTTCAAAGCAGTTTTGAGTTCACTGTTTTTATGATGTCTTGAAAACCAACATATTTACATGAATCCTACGTGGACTAAAACAGTTATCTCCGTATTTCCGTCCATTCACGATGATGTTATAAGGAGTGTTTTAGGCCAGACTTCTTTTTCAATGAGGCACAACACAGGACAGCCAATAGACAACTGAAGTCTTATCATCATTCATTCATTTTTAGGAAGTAAAAATATGAATTTTGCTACATGCGAGATAACACTGCTGCACACTGAACTGACAACCTCACCAAAATACCCCAAACAAACCAGAAAGCTTTGTCAAGTGTGGAAGTCTAGTTCTTTTGGCAGTAATAGAAAACATTAGGTTTTATAGTTTTATTATTAAACGTACTAGTGCAACCTCATTTTAATGTGCAAGAGTGGTAGCAGGGATGTAAAATAATTCAGATATATAATTGTAGCATAACTCATAATTCAGAGGATCCAGTGAAATTCATTGGAAAAATGTACATAGGACAAAACGTATTAGGTTTGGAACTTTTTTTGTGTATTACCGGGCGTGATAGCAGTGATTTTTAAAAAATCCCATTTGTTTTTCCAGTTTACACTCAAAGTTGCTAATATGGCTATGACAATCACTACAGAATGATACATAACTTCAGAGATCCATAAGAATATTTTTTTTTTCAATGTATCAGTTTTAAGGCACAGTAACAAAAAGAGCCTGTTTAATTCAAAAGGATGAAGAGAGATTAGAAAATAGTCATGTAAAAATGAAATGTGACTGTTTTGCTGCATAAATCCACACAAATGTCATAAGTGGACCTCAGAAATACAAAAATAAGATATGGTCTTTTTAACAAGCATTAGGTTAGCGAGTAAACTGCTCTTGAGGCAAGGAGCAAACAATTCACAAGTCTGCAACCTGTATGTAAATGGCTTATTATCTAGATTAGCCCCTTTATTCTATATATATATATATATATATATATATATATATATATATATATGTATATATATTATTTTATATTTAATATATTTATCTAGCTATAATAGTAAGATAGCGATATCAAAGCAAGCTGTTAGCATACATGCTAGATTGACTGAAAGCCATCAAAGTCAACATGTATTGGAAGAATGCATTTTCCTTCCATACTGTGACGTTTTCTGAGTGAAATGGTATCGGGGAGCATTTAACAGCATATTTAACGGGCATTCCTTACTAGTGTTCAATCCTTGCTAGTAAAACATGGGAGCCATTTTAGCTAATGTAACAAAACCTAGGCTTGCAGTGTAGCTACCCAATCTGTGTACCCTGCCTGAATTGCACTGCGAATGCGTAGAGAACATTACTGTTACCGGCACCAGTCTGCATTACCTAATCTGCACTGCAAATATGTTAGCATTTTACAGCAGTTAAAACTTTTAGTTTAGCTGTAACAAAACCGCCATATTCCCCAACAGTACTTACATGTGTGTTTTACAGTCTTTCTTACTCGGTTGCCAAGCTATCCTATTTGTTTATCAGCAAAAACAGAGCCATTAGTTGCGATTGTCTACCTAAGTGGTTTTACTTTGTGTGTGCTAGCATTCTTAGCCTGTATGTGCTAACAATGTGCCATCCATATATGAATGTTTCCTAACATATGTTGTTAAATATGTTATACATATATGTTTGTTTATGTTGATATATGGCTGAAATATATGTCCCATATTTTAAAAAGGCCAATTTCAAAGAAGATATATCACCATATGTGACAAATATAGGTTGGAAATAGGGAAATCGATATATGTCCATACATCAGATTTCCATGTGGGTATGCAGCTACATAGGGAGTAAGGAGCCATTTGAGATTCAGCCATAGACATGCTCTCAAGCTTAACCGAATGATTGTAACAGCAGGTTTTGTCTCTGTCTTTCTCATCTTCCTGTACTTTAGCCAATTTTTACCCACTGAAAAAAATTTTACACTAAGTAGTATTAAACTAAGAAGGAATGAATGAGCTGCTTAGTTTCAGTGATATGCGTGGCTGGTGCATGTTCATGATTTTAATCTAATGCAATATGTTTCCCCAAGCTAATCCACTAATATAACATCATAAAAAGATAAGCATGCAGGCTACAGATCGAATAGTGTCATAAAACTTAATGCAGTGTACACTTGCGGGTAGTGACTCACCCTATCTAAGCATACTTTGTTGTGAGGCCAAAGGCCTTTCATGTTTCATGGTGCTGATTTAAGAGCCTCTGTTTTGCATGTGTGATTCCATCCAGTCCCTGAGACCCCCTACATAGTGCTATTTTGTGTTTTCACAGTTCAGTCACATCATTAGCTAATCTGTCAGAAGCTGAATTGGGTGAGTAAGGTCGGGGTAAACATAAAACGTGACGCTAGCATAGGCACTACATCAAAGCTAATTTCATTTTCATCAAACTGCATAAAACTTCATTCATTCTCTTATCAAAAGTGCTGGCATTGGGCTCCATGACATTTGTGTGTATACCAGAATTAAATCTCCTTTTGTAATGTTAATCATCATGAAAGTTTAATTCAACAGAGACACCCAGCTAATACACCATCAGCCTTTCCCAAACCCCCCTCCCTCTCGCCAACAACATTTCATCAACTCCGTATGAAGTTGCACTAGCAGCTGTGGAGGGCACTCCTAATGAAGGTAGAGGGTGTAACAACATAGGTAAACTTTGGTACGCCCTTGCTACTCCACGAAAGGAGGAAGATGCTGTCACCATGGCTACGGTTTTATGCTTTGCTTCTTTATCACCTCACTATTTAAAAGAGACAAGGATAAGAGTCTACAGAAGAAGAAAACATCTACAACATCTTACAGACAATATCCTGTAACAAAACAATTCATGTATGCAATATAATAAATTGTGCCTTTTATTATTAAATGAACACTTGCATGGATACAGGTATCCTGCCTTCTGCCCAATGACAGCTGGGATAGGCTCCAGCACCCCACCGCGGCCCAGAAGGATAAGCGGTTTAGATGATGGATGGCTGGATGGATGGATGGATACAGGTCAACTGAACTTGGGGAGCAATATATTTACCATTTTTGAGTTTTAAGTAATTGATTTTGTAAGAAGCTTTTTGTGAGTCTTAACCAAGAAAAATATTAATATTTGACTGAAACACTGTTATTTTGCAGTGTATGAGAAGCTTCTGCTCTAGCTGTGCTTTGTATTGTTTATTTTTTGGGCTGTGTCAGTAGTATATAAGAGTAGTAGTATAAAATAGCATCTTTAAATGGAACATGGAATAGTTGTAGCATTTGTTTATACCAATGTATATGTGTAAACAAGAAGGTTCAGACAAACTATAAATGTTACATCCAAGTGTATATCTGTAGTAATTTAGGGGTTAAACCCATAACCCCCCACCTCAAATGGTGCAGCCTGTTTGCTGATTCTGGTGTTGTGAATAGAGATTAGATGAAGCTGAAGTATTTCTCATTTCTCATTCCACCTTAAATGGTGTAGCAGTTACATCCAGCAGCCAATAAAGGCTTTGGAGTGTAACTGCTGCACTATTTAAGGTGGAACGGAAATTTGAATAAAAAGCTAACATCAGCCTTGAGGGATTAGCACATCATATTCAGCATTATGGTGCTAATCTGGTTCTGGTCTGGCACCAAGAAGACTGAAATAGCTAAAAGGAGGATGAGGAAATATCCAAGCAGATGGGCTGCGAGAATTGCTGACTTAGCTTACTTAGCTAGCATATTTCATGATTATATCATGTTAAGATAAAAACCTTCCTGAAAAGCTTGAATTTTTCATTTTATCAATAGCTACACACCTTGGTTATTTCAGTGTAGCATGAATAACAAATAAGAGTAAGAAATAAAGATGAAAATGTGCAGATTTTGGAAAAATGTTTTGCATGAAGGCAATGCTGTGTGTGTGTGGCAGGATAAATACAGTCACAGTTTTAGGTGGGCTGATCTGCACACTCATTGACAGTAGTAGCCTACAGTTTGAGTGGCTATGATTTTTGTTGAATATTGCTGAAGTACATTATTAGACTGCCATTTGATGTTAATTCAATGAGCAAGAATGTCAGCTTGCTTGTAGCATGCTTCGACTCCTTAATGATCAAAATGTACACAAGATAAAACTCTCAAAAATGTTATTTCAAGTTTTTCAGTTTTTCAAAATGCTGTTTATTTTTTTTCTGTAGAGAAAAGCTACTCAGACCAGGAGTTCCTTATTTGGACATGATGCTGACTACAGAATGATCCATGTCTTTATAGATATATTGTTTTGGGGTAGCCCTCAATATGGTGAACGTGCCAATGGAGGTGGAGCCAGAATGAAACTGGAGAATTGTCTGTTTCCTTGAAACATGGCTATAATGCTGTGAAAATGTGGTGGTTGTGTTTCTGTACACAGAACTATGGCAACAATGTTGTGAGCATAAAAAGAAGTCACCTTGGGGGTGGGGCTTTCATGCTCTATGTGTTTTGTTAGACAACCAGAGAAATGGTTAATAAATGTGCTCTGCAAAAGGGCTGAAAGGCCCAGAAAAATGGATTACAAAAAACACATTTTTTACTCAATAATATCTACCCATGTACTGTTTCTGTTAACTCACGCTGAACATGAATTTAAAGGAGTATTCTCAGAAGACAAGTGAAGGTTCACTGGTCATTTTAAATAGCACATGAAATAGCTATATTTATGTAGTAGACATTGCAACCCCTGCTTCTTTTCACCACCAGTGTAAAGAAAGAGTCAATTAGTTTCTCTACAGTGCACCGTTTCACTCATCATTCACCACTCTGAATGACATTGTTTACTTCTCAAATCGATGAGACTCCTCTTTGAAGGCATGTATGATTTTTCCTTCATACAAAATAAACCATGCACTTCATGAAACTTTGCTCATTTAGGACATTATCTGCTCTGCCTAGTCAGGAATTAACTTTCAGTAATCAATGGCCTATAATCTGTGGTGATTGGATTATCTTACAGTGTTTTGTTTTCTTTCTTCATGATCACTAAAATCCAATCACTCTAAACATTCTTTTTGCGAAACGTGGTTGACTTGCTGATTAAGTAAAACAAGTTGGGTAAGAACATCAAGCAAAACACTTTTATTCATTCAGTTTCACTTTTAACTCAAGAAATGTGTTTATTCACAGTTACGCACATGCTGCATGTTAAAACGATTGTAGACACTTGCTCATCCAGTGTTTCTTAGGAAGGGTATCAATACAGGGTTATCTGAAGTAACAGGTTGCACTCTACTGGGGTATCTTTACACTAGCTGTCTGTTTCAGTACCGATTTTAACATGCCCTGGTCCACTTGGCCATGTCATTTCCAGTGCCATCTTAAGGGCTACTCCATTACTTTTTTAGCTGAAGTGAAGTGTGTTGCATGAGCCCTCAGAAGGGTGAGGGATCAAATGAACTCAACTGTCGACTTCAGCAGACGAAACCAGAAATCATTGCAACCTGTTGCATTTACAGATGCTGTTTATGAGCCAAAGTAGTAAACTACTTTAAAACGTTCTACATTTCAAAACTACATCTTTCAATTTGCTGGGCTTAAGGTAGCAAAACACTCCATCTGTTATACATGACTGCTTATACTTTGCCAAACGTCATCAATTTCCTCTGCTAGCTTGCTAGTTAGCATGCGAAAGGCTACACAGCTAACAACAACAAAAATAAAGGCACTACATCACAACTCTACACCAAGTTTATAGAAACACAAAGGACTTATTCACAAATTTTCTGTTCATTATGTTCAAACCTCTCAAAACACTGTTTTGCATTGCACTGAAACATTTGCAAGGCTAGCTAATTAGCTCCCAGAGGCTAACCCAGCTAAGAGCCAGTGTGTTCCATTTGGTCACCGTCCACTCCTCCCCTTCTGTTGCAAAGTGGATGAGGGCATGTTAAAATTTAAAGTAAGAAAAAGTGGTGTTCTTCAAATGTACAGGATTAAAGCAAAAGTGAAAAAGATCAGTTATCAAAACCCGTGTGGTAAAGCTGGACCAGAAGCATAAACCTTCTGTTATGGGTGTTGGAGAAGCATGCATGTGTCTGTCTTGAATTGTAGGGGGCTTCAGGTTACCCTCCGGTAGAAGAAGGGGGAGAGGGGTGTGTATGTGCATGTTTGCATGAAAGGGGGGTCAACGGGAGGAAGGAGGAGGTGGCAGTCCCAAAAAAGCCACCACTGTCATCCACACGTGTGCTGTCCTTCATTTTACCATCTGAGAGCATGGCAAAAGGGGTGAGTCTCCTTACTATAATATCTACCTCACTCTATTATCTACCTATCTATTAATTGCTTGCAGTAAATTTCACTATACCACAAATCAAAATCATATGTTATTTAACAACATACTTTTTGTGTTTAGCACATATTGTGTCAGGACAAGGACTCAGTATGTCTTTGGCAGACTGTATAAGTAGAACAAGTTTGTATTAACAATCTAAACTCTGTGTTAAAGCAAAGCAATACTCCAGCATGTTTGAACCTAATCTCCATCTACCCCCTGTGTAGCATACAGTCAGTTACCACCAACAGTAATTTTGAAGAATTTCCCTGTGAAAAAACAGAAATGTGTTGACTCAAAGCTCGCTTATAATAGGTGCCAGCAGTTGGTGCTGAAGCAGCTGCCCTTGGCTTCTATTATAAGTGTGCTGTGAGTCAACATGTTTAAGTACAATAAAACATGTCAGATTGTCTGTAGTAGTCAACCTAATGCTACACATGGGGCAGATAGATACTACATTGAAAAATCCTGGATTGTTCCTTTAAATAGAATATCAGACTGGTTTTTATTACAAATAACCCACATTGTGTTGCTCTTAAAGGAATTTAGTATGTTATTGGTCATGTTATGTAATATTGTGTAGTGCAGCACTGCATCCATTAACCTCCTCAGTTCAACAGATTTCATGATTTTGTGTTTTCCTCCATGTATTTTTTTTAAAACAATAGCACATACAGTTGACACATCATGTACAGCTAACACACTTCTGCACATTTTAATGCACACTTACTGTTTATTTGCTGAATTTAGCACATTGGACAAATAATAAAACATCAAATGTGGCCTGTGTTAAAGTTATGGCAAATTTTATATTGTATGCTTTTTTCTAATATGTTTGTTAGATTGCGTTAACATATAAAAGTTGCTGAATATTTCCGTATTAAAGTGTGCTCCTTGTAGAGGTTATGCTAATTTATTTTCACTTAGAAAATCAACAAAATGTAAATTCACCAGGGGTGTTTTCTTTTTTTTAGCATTTGGCTGTATATGTCAAACAGCCATTGGGAGATGTAGAAGCTAATAAATACAGACGTGATATTTGACTTCCCAGCAGTAACGTTAGCTGAATTAGCCAGTTAGCAGGAAAAACAAACAATTTGAACAACAGCTTGCTCTCAACTATCTGCCCCACAGTGCTTGTAGTTTTAAAGATTCTCCAACCTCCAAGATCATTTGAAAGGAGTTTTGCTAGTCTTTTAAACCCTTACCAAGCCATGGGCCGGCTGGTGGGCTCAAAGTTTTATAACACACTTCTATAACTTAAGAATAGCTCCGTTTGTTTGCATTGATATCCCTGTAGTTAATGAATAATAAGCTTTAGTATCTAAATAAAATTTAGTATTTAGTAACAAGTCTGGAATGTTAAGGGGAAATTTTTATTTTTGGGACTACTATGGCCCCTACATTTTTCATTTTGGCTGATGCATCCTTTTAACTGCACACATAGATATGTTACAAAACTCTGTTTTGATAACATACCATTATATCATAAGGTAATGTATTACTCCATATTTCTGCCATGTTGTAGGTAAGACGGCTGAAACTGTTTAGTCTACAATTAGTAACAAAATCTGATACAGACGTATGGATTAGTGCTAGCATGTTCCATTTGGTTGTGGGTAAAGTAGTTTTGTAGTGAAGGGGTTGTATTGTGAGTCTGAAAGAGCCCACAGACAAGCACAGATTTCTAGTTTTTTAAGATATTTATTTATTATACCATACAAGGGTATTAAAGTAATGTATTAAACATGTTATAAAATATTGTTTTTATGTTCTAATATAGTGATAATTTCATATGTGTGTCATTTTTATATGGGAAGACTTGATTTTATTCTTGAGTTCTGACACGCTCTTTCTTCACGTGCTGTTGTCATGCTCGACAAGTGTTTCTCTCTCCCTCTGACACACACATAGTTCAGCAGAAGAGTGGCAGCGCCAGATGATTTCCATCAGCCGCTCCGTCAGCATTTGCTGTACAGTTAGAGCACATATCTCTCTCTCTCCCTCTCTCTCATGTGCAGGTCCTTCCTGTCTCTTACAACCTCTCTCTATGTCTTACACCCCCCCTTTATACACTATGCACAGTAATGGAGGACAGAGTGTACTCTAAAACTCATTACCAGAGACCCCTGCAGACACACACATACACTTCATGGTTGTTATGTGCTGTTTCACCACCTCATAATAGGTTTTTTCTAACAGCAGGACTGAATTAAACTGCATGGCTAGCTGCCGCCTCCAGTAGGAGGTCATGTTTTCCAATTAATGCACAGTAAGGAAACGTATCACCATTAGGTGCTAGTTCTTGTTTTGTTTATTTATTTATTTTTTTGAAAGTATCTATGAGTGCCTGCTTGTGCCTCTGAATGCACCTTCCCTAGAATGTTCTAGTTCCCCTGTGTACATCTGATAATTATATTTAGCTACATCAAAACAAAGTGACATGCGAACAGGTGAGGAATTCAATAAAAATCAAATTAACTTTGGAAAAGGTCCATAGTTTGAAAACAGGAGCTGAAGCAAGTGCCCTTTGGCCCATTGGTATTGAGACACTTTTGTTTTATGTTTTAATAAATTTCAGTGCATATATTCACCTCAAATTTACATACATAATGTCTTTTGTACTTATAAATATGAAGAAAGAAGCATGTATTCATATGCATACACAAAGATAGGCTTAAAAAATTTAAGTAAGAGGGAAAACAGTATTCAGATACAACTGAATGACATTAGTACTTTGTTGCAAACATCTACAATAAGAAGTAATTACCTTTACATTTACATTTACAGCATTTAGCAGATGCTCTTATCCAGAGCGACTTACAAAAAGTGCTTTGTCTATCTAGAGAAAGTACCTTTGCTAGTTACAAATAGGTTAGAGAGAAAGTTGGTCCTCAGCTCAGATATTGCTAGAAACAAAAGCCCTTGTTGATACCTAGAGAAAAAGAGAACAGAATTGAACACAGCACATTGCAATACATTTCAATAAGTGCAGTACAATACATTACAATAAATACTTAACTCAGTGCTCATTTAAGTGCTGTAAAAAGGGATGTGTCTTCAGTCTGCATTTGAAGACCATGAGAGACTCTGCTGTTAGCTTTTTGAGCATTGCTGTACAGTTCTGGCCCTTTCCCCTCTACAAACTGTCTTCGATCCCCAAGCTTATGAGGGTCTCTCTGATGGATGCGTAATCTCAAAATCCTCAATGAATTTTCAATGGGTTTCAAGTTAGGAGATTGTTAGATTATGAGTTATTCCGGTTGTATATTTGGGGTCGTTGTCTGGTTGAAATCTTTCCGCCAGATTCACTTTCTTTGCTGATGAGATTAAAATCTCCTCCGGTATGTCGCGTTACATCGCTCCATTTATGTTTTCTTTGATGACGTGTAATGCCCCAGTCCTGTGTGCAGAGAAGAAGCCCCGTATCGTGATGCTCCCACCACCATGCTTCACTGTGGGTCTGGTGTTCTTGGGATCATATATGCAACCTTTTTCTCCCAACATGACTAGCTAAATTATTATCAAAGAGTTTTACATGTGTTTCATCTGGCCAGAGTACATTCTTCCGAAAGAGTTCTGATTAGTCTAAACGCTTAAGTGCAAATTTTAGATGCACACCTCAATCCTTCCTTTTTAGCAGAGTTTTGCATGGGGTGTATGAATGAAGATGATTGCAGTGTCGTGACTGCTGGCTTCTCTCTTACCTTCCTTATCATTAGTCTGAGAGCTCATTGTGAAATCATGCATGGTGCACAATGATTGCTGCTAATTGTGTGAAATCTTCCCAACCAATGGCAACATCTTTTATAGTATCAGGTGTCTGACATTTTTTTATTTTTGCTGCAGTAATATGTAGAACTTAATTTTGTTTTATTTGTCACCTTACAAGCAAAAATATAATGAACACATGCTTTTTTTGTTTATGAGTGCAAAGTCAAAAGACATAGATTCATACACCGCAACACCAGATGTAACCTGATGGTAAAAGCAAATGGCACATTTGTTTACTCATAAAAAAGGATTACTGTCATGTTTTACCACTTGTGTGATGTGAAGCATGGCTGCATGTTAACTTCATTTAAATATGGCAATATCAATTCATAACACGACACAGTCCCACAAAAAATAATGCCTGAACCACTCTGACGGTAGTTTTCCCAGTAAGAATCTGATTAAAAACTATATTTTCTACAATGTTTCCAAACATGTTTGGTCACATGAAACAAATCACACTGAACTGATTAACTGATAAATTTAAAACATTTTTTGATCTATTTGGCCTGAACATGGCAAACCTTCTATCTGCTGCTGTTGGAGAACAGAGCAGAAAGACTTCCTTGAGTAGGATTTCAGACTGGCAGATTTAACTGGCACAGCATCAGGCTGTAAAACAGCCTCTTCTTCATACGTCAGACTGTTTCACAAATTTCCCTCCTGTGTGTATGGAAAGTGGGTCTAGCTTTAATTCAGACAAGTGAAGAGTTTGTTGACTTGTTGAGATTCTAACTACATGTTAAAATTGATTTTATTGCAAGCACTTTTAACTTTTAATACTATTTTTCAATTTACAATAGATTACAGGAAGAATCTAATGTACGCTGAAAATCTGAAAATGACAAAAAAATATATTTTTACTAGTCGATATTTTATTCACTTTTACCTTTCATTTTTACATGTGCAAACCAAATTCCTGATATCAAGAATTATATATGAACTAGTTAGAATTTAATTTTCACATCTGCAAACTGGGTTTCTGGGATAGAAAAAATAGGAAGTAAAATCTAAAGCAGGTTGCCTTAGTAATTAGAATTTCAACATGTTAATTTAATCTTTAACTATAATAAAAAACACCAAATGTTAGACTTTATGTTGGTAAATGTTATTACTGTAATTCTAATGAATTGCAAAAAGGCATAAACAATTGGTGCCGGTCTTTATTATGTATGATTACATTTACATGTGGAAAAAAGTGACTCTATACTGTTAAAGAAAAAAGACTTGTAGTAATCAGATTGTAGATACATCAGATCATATTATGTTATGATAGTAATGCTTTAGATTAGTTTAAAGATTACATTTTTTCAAACAGGTAATCAGTAATCTGCACAGGAATACATTTTTAAAGCAACTGTTCAAACCCTGCACATTGAATTATTGTCTCTAATAACTGACCGTACGATACAGATGAGGCAGCCTGAGATTATATTAAAAATACTGAAGTATAACATTAAATGTGATTTTCTTCATTCAAAGTGTACCTGCATGATTTCTCAATAAGCTGTCTAGTAACCACCATTCACTCCTCAGTCCATGTAGTCTGTGTGTGGAAACTAAACTGCAAAAAAGCCTGTTTTGATTTCATCAGTAATAGTAACAGTTTTGTGATGTCACAAAAATGAATGTATTTGCATATATCCATCTATTCAGCCTACAGCAGTTTAGCCCTGCCAATTTATACCAAAGTTACAAAGAAATGTTCCAGTCTGGACTGCTTTTCTAATGAGATACAATACAGGGCAGCCAATCAGAACAGATCTCATGTCCAGTCTTATATGTAAAGGGCTGGTGTGGTTGCAGGTTTTCATTCTAGCAAAGCAGGAGCTCCCCTGATCAGTGGTTTGAAGACTGACTAACTGATTAAAAAGGTATAATCAGGTGAGCTCCCGCTTGTTTGGAATGAAAACCTGCAGCCACACTGCCCTTTACACTGATAAGATTGAACACCCCTTTTCTACTGGATTAGGAGAGGTCAAAAACTGGTCAAGCAAAAAATGAATAGCCACTGTTTTGGTACATATGATATGAGCCCTTTGTTCTTGGCTTGAGTTAACTTAATTAACTAATTTAGTCAATCTGTCTGGTTTAGAAATCTCAGTGAAACAGAATGTTCTTCTGGGCCATCTCCTCTCCAGGCCATGCTCTGATTCACCCAGTGGCTTGACCTTGAAAATGCACTCAGATTATTAAAATTTTTGTCATTAGCATTGCCTGAAACTCCATTTATGAGCCAGCACCCAGCATTGCCGTCACACATGACTTATTTGTTTGTATGTTTTTTGTTTTGGAGCCTGTTATTAATAGGCCCAACACACTTATAAATAACACGTTCATAATCCACAGCTAAAGAACTGGCACTCCGTGCTCACAGTGAGATATCCGCAGAACTATTTAAACCACAAAAGCTTAATTTATTACGTAATGCCCGCTGGGCAATGTGCTATAAGATTATGTTTCGACATGCTTTGAATTACGTCTCAAGTCAGGAGGTTTAATTTCCTGAATTTCAGGACGTCATTGTGCTCTGCTAGATATGATCTCATTCTCACATGATAAAATCAACATTTTAATTTACAGTGATTTCACTGCGCACACTCATTCTCCATCTCTCCCTCTCTCTCACTCTTCATCTCTTGCTCTCTCTTCTCTCTCAGTATGGAAGAGAGAGCAGCCCTGAGGCTTCGGAGAACAATGGAAAGAAGAAAAAGAAAACTAAGGACTTAGACGAGCTGAAGAAAGAGGTGGCTTTGGTAAGGAAACTCAGCCTGTGTGTGTTTTTTTCTGCCTTTTTTTTTCCACGCACATGCATGTGCTCTGTATGACTGCAGTACTAATTGGACAGGATAGTGGATCTCAACAAAAACCTCTCTGTGTGTTTGTTGCTGCAGGATGACCATAAGATATCTCTGGAAGAGTTGTCAGCTCGCTATAAAGTGGACCTGTATAAAGTAAGAAGCACCACATCCTCAACCTGCAACATTTACACCTTTCACACTAACAGTTAGCCTAAAGCAGTGCTTACCAGTTCTAGTTCTGTTTTTTCTGCTTTATCACTCTCACTTTTCAGTAGTGGGGGACCCTCAGACCTTCAGAGAGGGAACTAAAAGAAAAGAAAGCATGTCTACAAATGTACTTGCACTCTAGTACTACTCTTATTTTAGTGTTAAGTTTTGATTGGAAACAAAAGTGTTCAAATTTGATAAAGTCAGGATTTTTGTCTCTATGGTATCTAGGTTAATATAGCCAAGCTAGCTTTCTCATTGGTTAGGCCTTCAGGATTTGGACTCAAGGCCTTACATATTAAATTAACAACCAACATGATTAGAAAGTTACAAGCGAATCAAACAATTGCGTTTTGATTTTCGATAGGTGGGATTAATATTGAGGGAAAAATGTCACTGTAGGCCTCCTGGAAGTCCTATATACCTCATAGACTGTGAGTACTAGAGGTAGCCTAACCAAATTTCAGTCAGTTGCCAGAAATAGAAAACTGTGCCGGCAGCTCTATGACAGAGCTCTTTATTGAAAGAGTCACTGTAAAACTAAAACATACAAGATAAAATATGTGTTATTGTTATACTCCTACAAGCTTCAAATGACTATATGGAATGTTTTTTTCAACCATGCAAGTTTCATTCAGGCCCAAAAATATTCATACGTACCAGCATTAGCTTAGCATTAACATACTACTAGAAATCTCATAAGGGTGCTAGCAGAAATAAGCATTTTTATTTTTTGTCTTATACAGTTGTTTTATTTTGACCAAGATTTGACATTTATGCCCTGAATTGAAGGCTTAACTCTAATAGTCACGGTACACCACTAATCAGGCAGTAATAAAGCTGAATCTGTGATTAGTAACTAGTTACATTTACTCAGTTCCAAATCACTGCTGTCAGAACAAAACACTGTCTCTCCAAAGTGGCAACTTTGCAGGAGTTTCTAAATTATGCAAAAATGTAAAAAACAACAAAAAAAGGCTTTAGCGCAACAGCGATGATATATTTAATCATATGGGTGAGTGGAGTACCTGCACCCACAGTTTTCAAATTTTTTATTTGAAAATTGACTTTCAGTGTAAGTAACTGCTTGAGCATTAGTTTAAAGTCAACCTAAAATCTAAATTGACATTTGTATGGTATTAGTTCATGTTCTTGGTCAGATCAAGCACTATTCTTCATTCCATATCATGGCATAATTCTTGTTTTTGTGTAATTTTTGATTGAAGTGTAGTGACTTTTACCCTCCTATGAAGCACTTTCTGATTTCTGGTTGCGTCACCGTGCACCAGCAGGCAGAGAAAAATTATGTTAACCAATAATATCATGTTTCACCTCCCCCTCAAAGCCCTGCATATCCTCAAGCAAAACGCTCAGCTAGCTTAGAGACCTTCCCTAATTACACTCAGAAATAAGGCTGCGCTAATGACCATATTTTTATTGTTATCACAATAGGACTGTCCACATGGATCAAATTACATTACACCTGCCCAACTTGAGAGTGACTTTATCTGATTGGTGGGAATGTAGCGATAGGAGCAGTGTCTAATGTTAGCACAGTGATGTGCTCTCGGAAACCTCGGCCTCCCGCAGTGGTTTAGAGCGGCTCATTTAACTACTCTGCTGCAGGGCCAGTTTCAAACTCACACACATGCACAGCTAAACAACTACTCTATTCTGAACCAATTAACCTGCAGAATTACTTCAAACGTGATGATGATTCTCCAGTGTAGTGTGTAAAATGCATGAAGCAGTAATGGTCACTTTTACAACAAATCTGCATCACCATAAGGAGCTTTTTTAAGAAATGAAATATATGTTTTATTGCTTTTTATAGGCCTAAATAGAGTTGTTTAAGGGAAGGCGACAAAAAATGTGCTTGCAATTGTGAATATAAGTTGCTATTAGTGTTTCTTTATATGTCACAGCTTTAATGAACATTGCATTTTATGTCGTTATCATGTAGCCCTACTGAGAAATATGTCATGAAATATTAGCTTCCCAAAAAAATCAATTGATGTTTATGTAGCACCCCCCCCCAATTTTGCTCCCGCTACTTCCACATGAATATAGAAGTACATTTGTAAGGAAATGAATTTAGTTTTTACTCAGTTCCATTTTAGTCCTAGTGCCCTTTTGGGTTTAAACTGCTTTGCTGTTGCTAATACCTCTCACTGTGGAGCAATAGCATTTATTTTAGACCAAAGGTACCACAGAAAGATCAGAATAGAGCCTAATAATCCTCAGTTTCAATAGACGCTGAATATACTAAGAGGTTCCACTGCAGTTCTATAGACTACTCAGAACTTGAGAAGTTTTTTGACCTGCTACTATTTGCTCCAACTCAACTCGCTTTTTGGGAAGCTACTGTTTCTTCTACTTTAGCTACTATTTCATTAAAGTAATAGTACTTTTTCAGTACGGAATTGGGCTCCTCTACTCATTTTTTTCTACTGTGTGAACAGATAAAAATGTGCAAAACATAAAGGACAATAATAATCTAAATTGTAGTTTAAATCATGAAATGCTAACCATGCAATTGCAAGCTAACCAAAAAATTTTATAGTAATTACAGGAACAAGTGTTTCCTCATCACCTGTCATACATTTGCTCCTCCCTTCTTCAGGGTTTGACCAATAAGAAGGCAGCGGAGATCCTGGCACGGGATGGCCCAAATGCTCTGACCCCACCCCCCACCACCCCGGAGTGGGTGAAGTTCTGTAAGCAGTTGTTTGGAGGCTTCTCCATCCTGCTGTGGATTGGAGCCATCCTCTGCTTCCTTGCTTACAGCATACAGGCTGCGACTGAGGATGAACCGGCCAATGACAATGTGAGTGCATTTCTAAACTAACCAATAAGAAGCAGGCACTAATGTGAGTGCAGTTTTATTAAATTAAACAATATGACTATCACCCTGATCCAGTAAGAATTTGAAGGCAGCTCTTATGTAGACTCTACACTAAACGCATAAAATGCTATTCTGTATTAGCCAATGAAAGCAGTCAACTAAAATGCTTAAAGGGATATTTTCGTTTAATCTCTGCTGCATTTGTAATGTTGATTACCACAGACAAATATTTTGATGTATTTCCCTGTACTGATTTTAAACTAATTTCTAAGTCTTTAGTTGTCTTCAAATACTTCAAATGCTGGAGCAATACAGAAAAAAATAAAAATAAAAAATAAGATGAAAATTCCACCCATGAGTCTTTCTGCTGGAAAACTAGTCACATCTTTAAAGAATTAATAATACAGGTTTGTTTGTGGCCAGAATTCAGCATCTGCCCAATGGTTTCTATTAGAAGGGTGTTTTGAGTCCAAGAGTTTTGTTTTTTTCTAAGTACACGGAAACATGTTGAAATGGTTGTCAGTGGAATATTCCTTTAAAACACCAGCCAGTGAAGATGGGAATGGGGCTTCGCCTAGCCAGTGGTAGATTTTATGTAATCAGTAACGCCAAAGCAGCCTGACTTCAAAAGACACCAAGCATCTGTTAACTTTAAATGAAATTCAAAAAATATTTAGTGATCTGGCCACCATCACAATCAACCAATTGCAAACATGCCTAATAAAAATATGAGCAACATTAACCAACTGGTGACTGTCTGTCTGTCTGTCTGTCTGTCTGTCTGTCTCTCTCTCTGTGGTGCAGTTGTATCTGGGAGTAGTCCTGGCTGCAGTGGTCATCATCACTGGCTGCTTCTCCTATTATCAAGAGGCCAAGAGCTCACGCATCATGGACTCTTTCAAGAACATGGTGCCGCAGGTGAGTGTGCCAGGCATGGTGCTTTCCTGCTAAAGATATTTCCACTTCCTTGCTGTATCAGAAAAACTCTCCATTCCAAGTCCTGATCTGAGCAATTCACTTTCAAAAAGAGCACCACTGGTCACTTCTTTTTTTAAATTAGAATAATGCATAATGCGCAACTTACTTAGGCGTGCAAATGAGATCCATGATGTAAATAAGGCGTGGGTATGAGATAATGAAGTCATAGCCATGACTAAGTAAGTGGGTATGAAATAATTAAGTCGTAGGCATGAATTAGTAAGGCGTATATTTGAGATAATTAAGTCATAGTCATGACTTAGTGAGGCATGGGTGTAAGACAATTAGGTTGTAGCCACAACTCAGGATGGCATAGATATGAGATAATTACATCATAGCCATGATTTAGAAAGGCACAGATATGAAATAATAAAGTTGTAGTTACGAGTAATTTATAGATATGAGATAATTAAGTTGTAGTTACGAGTAATTTATAGATATGAGATAATAAAGTTGTATTTACGAGTAATTTATAGATATGAGATAATTAAGTTGTAGTTACGAGTAAGGCATAGATATGAGATAATTAAGGTCAAGCTATGAGAAAGGCATAGATATGAGATTATTAAGTTGTAGTTACGAGTAATTTATAGATATGAGATAATTAAGTTATGACTATGACCTACTGAGGCATGCAGGTGCAAGATAATTGAATCATAGCCATGAATTACTAAGGCATGGCTATGAAATAATAAGCGTGGCCTGACTTAGTAAGGCACAGATCTGCATCTTGTACATGTCCCAGTGCATCACTGGACCACCATATCAAATTTGGGGTGCATTCAAAAAGCTAAATGTGCTGCATATATTGTTTATTATATGTTCAGAAATTTGTAGACACATGTTCAGGTAGTTTTTCTTTTATAATCAAGGGTATTAAAAGGAAGTTTGTCTCCCTTTGCTGCAGTACCAGCCTCTACTCTTCTGGTAAGGCTTTACACTAATACTGGAACTTGCTGTGAGGATTTGATTGCATTGAGTCACAAAAGCATTAGTGAGGTCAGATACTAATATTGTATGATTAGTTCTGGATCACAAACAAATGGAGCTCTATCACTCCAGAGAACACAGTTCTACTACTCCACAGCCCACTGCTGATGGGCTTTATGATGACCTTAGGCTCATGTGCTGCTGCTCTGGACTATTCCATCCTATTGGCAATGCTTTTCTATGATTATACAAGCTGTGATTACAAGAGGTGTCTGAATGTTTTTGGACATAGAGTGTAACTACGCTATCCTGTTCTCCTCCTGATTCTTGGTTTCTCATGCTTTTAGGGAGTCTGCCCTCTCTTCAGGGCTAGGGGTCTGGCCCTGGATTTCTGTAAAACTGTTTTGTGACAATGTTGTAAAAAAAAGCACTCTATAAATAATGTTGAACTGAGTTGAATGCAGGTCAGTAGTTGAAGGTCAAGGACACATGAACACCACAGCTTGTTTTTTGGCGGTGATAGACCTATGTGTCACCCCATTTTCTGTCGTTTAGCTAGGTTCATGACTTGAGTTGAGTAATGGAATGGATGTATTAGGATTTCATAATAAATAAATAATACCCTCAGTCCGCTATGCTAGCAGAGGGGAAAAAAAGAAGAGTAATAGGATTAGAAACGTTTGAAAAGTGAGGTGATTGCTTGTCGGATTAAATTCAAACGTTTTAAGAGGAAAAAAAGCACTGGATTAAATGCATTTTTGAGCAGCACTTTCTTTACTGCCAGAGAATTTCTAAAAGAAACTCAACCATGACACAGTAACGCTAATTGGTCTGAGCAGCTATTTTGTTTTAAATGCCAGTATATGTCATATCAGTGGAAAGTAATTGAAAAGTGGAAATGTATATAGGGCTCTTGCATTTGCTTCTACTATTCTTCATTTTTATAATGCAAAGAGAAATGTATATATACACAGTGCTGCGCAAAGGGCAAAGGCCATGCTTCATTTATCTAATTTCCAGTCAAAACAGCCATTAAATACAAATGATTATTTCATTTCACTGTCAAGGAAAAGAAAGAAAGCATCTATTTAACAGATAATTTCGCAGAAGCCTCAAAATCTAAATATAATATATTGTTTTAGTATTTATTGTGCTATTATAGCAGATGTGCCTTCAGTTTTTCAAAGAAATCTGCAAGAATATTTTTCCACATCTTTACTTCTCACAATGCAAGTAATCCCAAACACATTCAGTGATGTTGAGGTTTGGACTCTGGGGTGGTCAGTCCATTGTTCTGAGAACTCCAGCAACATTTTCTTCTTCTCAGTAACCACTTCTTAACAGCATCTTTTCAGACCCAAAGAGTTCTTTCTTCTTCTCATGATGGAAGGACTTTTTCTGATCTGAAGGAAGAGCGGAGTTTAATCTTCTGTCTCAAAGACAGAAGCTTGAAGTACTGTTTATCTGATGGTGACAGCTTTGATGAGCTACCAGCCATGCTAGAAAAAACAGTATGGCATAGGTTTTAGATGATGGCATGCTGGTCCACCAGTCTGACCATGCTGGATGACCTGCTAAACCAGCACCAGACCAGCATGAGACCAGCATAAGTTTCTTTTAATCATTTTTCCAGTTCCAGTTTAGGAAACTCCCTTTCCTTTTTCCTTTCCTTTGACCTTCCCCTTATGCAAGTGGATTATCTCATATCTAATATACTCAGAAAAATCTCCTGAAAAAAGAATAAATTGCACTTAATAACTGTTTTGACTGGACATTAAAAAAATGAAATAGTATATGTATTTATTTATTACACTATCTGGTCAAGTATCATTTCCTCTTTCTTGATTTTTTGGAAGCAAAGTCATCAATGATTGTCTATTAACTTTTATTTAGAGTTATGTTTTTCCTTCCCCTGTAAAGTTACTCTTTTGGAGATGAGGTAACGATATATAGACTATCTATGCTTGTGGCTTGGGTGACTGGTTCTACCGCTTATGGCAAGAAGAAGTCCTGAACTGGGAAAACGTATTTGTGCTACTAATGTGATGAAGCATAAGGAGAAAAAGACTCAAGCAGTGCTGAGCACTTTTAGTTTATTTCAGTTGAAGCTAATGTTACTGAGAAAAGTACAGACCTGCAAAAACAAAATCTAGCCATATATTTACCCCTCCAGGTCACAAAACACAAGCTGTTTTTAGAATCATAACTTAGTAAAGTGTTTGCCAAAGTAAAGTTAGCTAGCTGGCTTTCAAACAGTATTGGCATGTATGCTAAACCAAGTGCTCACTCAAGATAAAATTGTAAGCTTTGCTTGGCTGCACACATGATTTTTTGTAATTATGTGAGTAAGTGTGCACAAGTGTGCAGTTGTCAATATAACCTAGTGCTCCCAGATAGCGAACATACATCGGTCCGCTGGCTTGATGAGGTGGGCACCCTGCTGACTCTAGGCTCGCAGACCACCCAAATTACTTACCAGAATGGGTATGACTAGTTTTAAATCTTCTCAAACAGATTTTAAATGCACAGTCTTTTTTTTAGAAAATATACTAAGGAAAATAAAATACATACAATTGAGAGGGAAAAAATAATGACTAGCCCAAATAAGCTGACAGTGTGCTAACGCTGAGCAAAACGCTGAGCAAAAAGCCAGAGGGCCAGCAGTGCTATCTGGGTTAACTAACTGTTTACTTCCCTGCTGGAAAAAATCAAAGAAACCATTAAAAGTTTCTGTTGGTTCCTGGTGGTGTTTAGTCACTACATGGTATTTTGTGTTTTCCTGAAGGGTTGCTATCACAGAATCTAGGATTCTACTGGTTTATTCACAGAATCTAGGATTCTAATGAAAAGGATTCAACAACATGTGTTGTGAGACTAATTAAAGATTAATGTAGTGTTTTTCTAAAGATCTAAAGGTGTCCTACAGGAAAATCGGTCTCTATTGGTAACTATTAAGCCAATTCCCATTGGAAAGCAAAGCCATTAGGTTTTAATCCTGATGGTTCTAATTGTCTTTTTTCAGCAGGTTGTGTCTTATTGTCTCCCCACTCCCTTCTGTCTCTCTCTGTCTCTTTTTTTACCCTCCTTTCAGCAAGCCATGGTGATCCGTGAGGGTGAGAAGAGGCAGATCAATGCAGAGGATGTGGTCCTGGGAGATCTGGTGGAGATAAAGGGAGGTGACCGCATCCCAGCTGACCTGCGCATCATCTCTTCCAGCGGCTGCAAGGTACAAGGCAAAGAACAGAGAGTGAGAGAGAAATAGAGAGAGGGGGAGAGAGAGAGAGAGAGAGAGAGAGAGAGAGTCTGAGTGAGAGAAATGTAGCCAGTGCAAGAAAGACAGCAAAGTGAGGAAGTTCTCACCATCAGTGATCAAAGTGACATGATCTCTACTGTACTATTGTCCAAAGTTCCTCCCTCGTGAAAAAGAAGCATACTTATGTACATCTTATGTATAATATATTTACAATATTATGTGCAATAGTATATTTGAAGTTTATAGAGCAGTGGCCTCCAATCCTGGTCCTGAGAGCTAACTTCCTGCAGAGTTTAGTTTCCACTTGTATCCAATAAACTGCTCTGCCCCTTACTTAGCTCTAATACATCTGATCCAGCCAATCAGGGACTCGGGAAGAGGTTGATTAGCTGGAGCAGTTGTGGCTAATTGTGGTTGGAATTGGGTTCTGCAAGAAGGTAGCTATCAAGGACCAGGGCTAAAGACCACTGATAGAGAGAACTCTAAAAGTACATTTTTCTTATATGTATTTTATGGAAATATACCTAAAATACATTACAAAAAGTACATTTTCAAGGTATTATATTTTATTATTGAATTATATTTTAATTTGTAAAGGAAATACAGTTGAGTAAATGTATTAACATACTGAAGCATATGTAAACAAAATAAATATCTGGTATATCTGATTGTCATCAAATTAAGCATATTATTTAGGAAGTATATCATAAAGCAATGACTTTAAAAGTAAAGGCTTTAGTTCATTTTAGTTGCATTTTAGCTGCAATATTACTCAAACTAAGTAGCAATCAAACATCGGTACACCCAAGTGTACACATTTAAAATACAGTTCAAGTGTAGTAGAATTTGTGTGTTTATTGTGTGAGTTGCTTAAGTTTACGTCATTTCGACACATGTTGTTGCAGTGTAGCACAGAAAAGGCATAGAAGATGTATTTCAGTGTTACTTTCATATAATCTTTAAGCAAACTGTGTTTATTTATTTCAATGTATATCTTTAATTATGTTTTATAAAAGTGCACTTAAATACATGTTTTATTTGTTGAAAGTATTTAAGTTTGTTTAGTGATATTGAAATATAATTTAAAATGCATTTTAGTTGCAGAATAATAACTCAGATTATTTACAAATTACAAAATCTACTTTAAATACTTAAAATAATACATGTAGCATTTTAAAAGTATGTTTAAAGTGTAGACATTAAAAATATGTACTTCTCATATAAAATACACTTTTGAAAGTACACTTTAAATGCAATTTCTGTCACACAGGGCCTCCTCCACAGGGCCTGTGATGCAATTACAAATTAATTTTACACGAAAGTTAGAAAAAAAACACCATACTTTTTCAGCGGGGGAAAAATAATCTTTCTATCAGCACGATTAGATTTACAGTCTCTTGTAATAATATAAGGGACAACAACAGAAGCAAGGCATCAAAGTAATTTTTCTGACCTTTATTTAATGCAGGGCAGTTGGCTTCGGTTCCTTTAATACCATGCATACGCTATGTCTAATAGCTACCGCCAAGACTGGTCACTGCTCTTTCATCCTTCGCTTGTGATGTTAGAAATTGAGTTCTTTTTATGTTTATGGTATTGATTTTGGAGAGATGTAGTTTGTGGATTGACAGAGATGAAGAAGGGGTGAGAGGGTGGATTTGATACAGTTCTTCTACTCTTGGTCATGTAAACACATCAGCCTTCTGACTTCAGAGTCACAAGCTGAGACTGGATGGATAGATAGATAGACAGACAGACAATCAGACAGACAGACAGAGTACTTAGTTACACCTGTACTTCTGAAAAGAAAAAAGAAGAGTAATTGGATTGGATTTGAAAAGTGAGGTGTCTGTTTTTACTGTGGAACATAGACTTTACACAGCAGTGCGTACTGTAGACTAATACAGGGTTTTCAGTGCATTCTGCTTTTTTATTCTGTTCTAAAGTGACACCTGAGCTGGGTAATCATGGCTATTGTACACCAATTATCAGGCTCAGCTGTGTCAGAAAATGAAACACAGCAAAACTGTGGACTGTGGATTGAAATTTCCACATCAAAATTGCCTGAATGAACATGCACAGAAGTGAAAGTAACTATTCCCTTTATACTGAGTACTAAGAACTTCCATGCAAATGAATACTGGGGCAACTTTGTAATTAAAATATGACCAGCACCATATAAACATGCGTTTGGCTAATATCCTTTCCATACAGAAGCCTCTTTTCACCAGTTTTTTTCAGGTTCTGTGAGGCAAGATTTTGACTATTCAGAATAATGGCCAAGTCAAAATATTGAGTAAATTGCAGCAGTGATTTTTAATGCCAAAATAGGGTTTGTGATGCTGCAAAACATTAAAAGTACATCTGCCCATTACTGTCATAGTTTCCAGGGATTACAAAATCCAAGAACATTTAAGACTTCTGAACAAATATTTAAAAGAATGCATAGTCTAATCACGCTAATGTGGCTAATAGTGAAAGGAAACTGGTAGTCACCAGTTAGCAGTACGTTATTAACATAAGGCTAATTAGCTATCTGCTTTCAGTCATTATTAGTAATATTATTATTTTTGACTGGAGAACCACTTTATATATTCTTATATATATAACTGAGCAGGGTTGCATCAGTTGATTGAAGGCTAACTGAATTGAATCAAATTAATTAAATCAAAATGAACTAAGCTGCATTAAACTGAATTTATTTATAAGTAAATTGAGTAAAATAAACATTTGACGATGAGAACATGTCAAAAAGTTCTAGTTTTCTAGTGAGACGTAATTGTCAGTGTTGTGAACTGTAATGCCTAACTGCTTATTTTGTACTGACGTAATGCTGATGTTGTCCAGGTACTTTAAAAATTGTTCTTTATGAAATGCCCTTTTTGTGTTTGAAAAAGATTCCATATAAATGAACACTCATTCTTTCCTTTCAGGTGGACAACTCCTCTCTGACTGGGGAGTCTGAACCTCAAACCCGCTCTCCAGACTTCACCCACGAAAACCCTCTCGAGACCAGAAACATCGGCTTCTTCTCCACCAACTGCGTGGAGGGTTAGATTCATTCATTCATTCATTCATTACCAGAAACACTGCCAGAAGCAACTTCTGCACTTCCTGACTCCATCGCTCCTCCCACACTCATTTACACACCCTTTCAGTTACCTGTTCATTCGTTTCTCAGCCTAAAGTAGCTATATTGTTGTAATAAATGTTGAAACACAAAGTGTTTGACATATGTACCAGTATGTAAGTACATACACTGTAGGCCAAAAAAAAAAAAACAGGGATTTTTTAATGTTACAAAAATATTTTACAAATTTGCTAACCGCTAACACAACACATTTATTGACATCTAGATACGAGACATCGCTTATCATTTTGGTAACCATATAAACAGGTTAGTATGCTCAGCCGCAAGCAGTCACAAATGACACGGCAGAGCATCCCAAATGCAGCTCAGATGCGGCATGTAGAGAATAGACCTTTAACAAAATGCAGTGAAAATAAAAAAAAACAATAAAAATGACACAAAACACTAATTAACAACATTAAAATGCATATTCTACAAATCACGGCCACTGTAAAATTAAAATACAACTTAAACATTTTGTGCTACACGCACATTTTCCAGTAAAGCTACAGGTTTTAAAATTATTACCAAATTAGAAGTCAGAAAACTGCTATGAGTAAACAAATGAAACAAGCAAAGTAAAATAACCGATTTGATTGTTTATCCATTTCTAAAAAGGATGTCTATGGAACTTGATTACTAGTAGGGAACAGAGGTAGTATGTCAAAGTCTTTGTTGATAAAAAGGCCTTCCATTGGCCAGTTTTTACAGTCTTTACAAACTACTAATTAACACACCTGATTCAGTTTATCAAACCTTAAGCCCCATCAGTTGGAAACTCCTACTCAGAAAGTCAACTCTGAGTTCAGTGTATGAGTTCATATCAAGATGGCTGTTTACACCATCAACAGTATTAAAATACCACTTCTCTACTTTTAACTGAGATTGTAGTAGTATTTCATGGGCATCCATAATTTCTGATTTTTACTTTTCCACATCATTTGAGCACAGCAGCTCCCCTTTAGATCATGATAAATGGAAATGATCAGAAATTACTTTAAATGAAATTCTCATTCAATTGACTTACTCTACAGTAATGAACTTTTTTGCTTTGTCCTGTAGATTTACCATTTTGGAGACTTAGTTTTTTTGGACAGCAACAGTTTTCTTTAGATCAGGCACAGCTGTTGGTTATGTCTATGACATTGACCATAAAGTGTGCTGTTTTACGAAGGTAAAAAGTAATGAACATTAAAGACATCCTCACTTTTTAGCTCAAATGCATGGAAATCAAAAATTCTGAGCCATCACTTCCAAATGAAGATTGTGCTCATGACCAAGTAGAAACTGGGAGTTTCTGACCATTAAGTCAGAAGTTTTTAAGTTTTAGGATTTAGGTTTTAAGTCACCAGGTGCAAAACTAATGAAGAACCATTTATCTGTATAAAATTGCCAAAATAATGTTTTTATGTTAATAAACATATTAATCATAAGTTATACCTTTAAAAAAAATGTAAATGTAAAAAGTTCTGTAACGTACATGTGTGTGTGTTTGAGAGTGCATACTTGTTTCTCTGGGCGTGCAGGCACGGCTCGCGGCATCGTGATTGCAACAGGTGATCATACAGTTATGGGACGTATAGCAACTCTGGCCTCGGGGCTGGAGGTTGGTCAGACACCCATTAACATTGAGATCGAGCACTTCATCCACATCATCACCGGCGTGGCCGTCTTCCTGGGCGTCTCTTTCTTCATCCTCTCCCTCATCCTCGGATACACCTGGCTCGAGGCCGTCATCTTCCTCATTGGCATCATTGTCGCCAACGTCCCTGAAGGGCTCCTGGCTACAGTCACGGTGAGTGTTATATGTGCTCCTACACTGGAGACACTTCACTTCTTATGACATTTTTCTTGTAATCTGACAGAAAAAAGGTACTATACAGGTATGTTTGTAGCCCCCCAAGGTACGAACAATGTAATGTGCCCCTTAGTGGTACAAAACAGTCTTTAAGGTCCAATTGTGTACCTTAAATGAGTTTTAAAGATATACTGTATTTAATTTCCCAGTGAAAGGATGCATATTTGTAGCTATTCATGACTTAGTTTTTTAAAATATAGAAAGAAAATATATATAAAAAAATTGCAATGGAGTATAGTACACTTACATTCCAAGACTAAAGGTAAAGACACAGTGACAACCTGTTTGACTCCAATGGATTAAGAGAGGTTGGAAAATGGTGATGTAAGAACTAATCATGACTGTTTTTAGTTCAAAACCACATATACTTAATAAGCAAACTGACAATAAACTTGCCCATGTATAAAAAGAATTAGAAAAGGTCTGAACATTTGTTGGCAGTGTACATTCGAATGCAAAAGTTTGGGCACCTCCGGTCAAGTTTCTAGATTTCTTTTCTTGAAATTCTACTTACTTTTTTTCTCCAAGCATACTCTTGGTAATTATAGTCAAAGAGTTCAGTTTTTACTTCATCAGTCCACAGCACTTGATTCCTAAATGGCTCTGGCTTATCTATATGCTGAATTGCATACCTCAGATGTTGGTGGTGCTTCTCCAACAACAAAGCACAGTGGGCCAGTGCATCACTATTCCCACACAAAGCCAAATGTTTCTGTAGGACCTTTGCAGTGATGTGGGGGTTTTGCTTGGTCTCTTGGTCTTTCAGATCTTGTCTTGACTTTGACAGTTCTCCTGCTCTTGCATTTTTTAATGACATTTCTTCATCAACAGTGAAAATTACGACCAGAAAGTGTTTGGAAATCTTTTCTAGTCTTCTCTTGCTTTGAAAGAGTGTTTAGTTTCAGATCCTCAGTCAGCCTCTTAGATGAGCACATTGGTTGTTGCATGCATGCTCAACAACCTGAGAGATTGGAAGGCTCTCATAATTTATAACACTCTAGAATTATTTACTCCTGACCTGGATTAAAAAAACCTCTGAGACTTTACAAAAAAAAAATCAAAAAAATCAACTAGTGCATCAATGAGGTGCCAAAACTTTTGCACACACCACATTTTATTTTACTTTTTTCAGCAAATTGAGCAAATAAATGGTAATCGTTCACTAAAGTTTGTAGGAGTATTTGTAGGAGGTTTATTTGTAGGAGGTTAGTGCCATGCAGATGTTGTGTTAACTACTTTTTGCTCAGAAGATCAACAAAAAACGTAATTTGATCAGGGATGTTTAAACTTTGTGCACATACACATGTAGAGGAACACATATACACACAGACACACGTACTCTCTCTCACACACTCACACACATATACACAGTGGCTGCTGGCCACTGTCACCATGAAGAACAGTCTTTGAAATTCTCTTTCATTCTCTCTGCCTGATGTCTACAGGCTCTGTAATGTCTACCTCTCTCTATTTCCTTCTGGTTTCCCCCTCACTCTCTCTCTCTCTGGTTCTCTCTCTCTGTCTGCCGCTGTCTCTTCTTCTCTGCCCACTGGCTGTCTCGTTTACTCTCTCGCTGCTCCTGTGTTTGTCTTCATGTTTCTTTTCATATTTCAGTATGTCTTCCTTTGTATTCTTCCTCTGCCTCTTGTCATCTCTATTCTCTCTGTCTCTCTCTCTCCGTCTCCTGTGTCTCCAGTGTGTGTGTAAATTGTACACTGTGGTCTGCAGCATGTCCACTGCACTCTCCTCTCCTCTGCGCTCCTCTCCGTCAGTTCCGCAGGCAGCCGAAGCTTCTGTGAATGAAAGGAAAACACTGCTCCCTTCTCTTTCACCCTGTGCAATTCCAGTTTCAATTTTGCTCCTGTCACCCTTCCAAATTTAATTCAGATCTCTTGTGCTTCCACACACTCACTCTCTCTCAATTCAATTCACAGTTCAATTTGAAAAAGCTTTATTGGTGTAGCTTTACTCTAGTACAGCATTTGCTTAAAGATTTTAAAGGGCCCTGATCATGGAAAACGGAATTTTCCACACTTTTTTTTTCAAATAAAGGAGATTGATGTACGTCAATGGAAAGTACTATGCACTCCCCAGTCCATATGGTTCATGTATGGAACCTAAACCTTATAAACAGCCCTTTTTTAATTCAACATGGTTCTGATTAGGGCTGCACGATTGATTGTATTTTTATTGTCATTGCGATTCAGATTTCTGAGACGAATCTACCGATTTTCAAAATTTCTACATAAATGGTTAAGATGTAAACAAAGTCATTTAGAGTGGTTTGATGTGAAATGCTCTGTTCTAGTGGTGGTGATAGGAACCAGACGTCTGAAACTTTTAATGTCTACTTTTAACGTTATTAAAGAAATGGTTGCGAATATGCTACCTGATGCCTGACACGTTGTTTATGATAGTTTTGGGGAAACTTTTTTGGCTTGAAACATATTAAAATCCTTTCATGGTGGATAGCAACATTCAGGATATTCTAAGGCAAAATATTCCTAAAAGAACTCTCAGATTTATCACTATTTTATCACTATTAACATTACAAATAAAACTCAGACATGTTTAGGTTCACTGTTCATTTTGCATAGTAAGTGAAAAGTGATCTGTAAACAAATCTGAGTTGGTAAGTTTCTTTACAATGCAATTTCACATCAAATCACTCTGAATGACTTGAATTATGCTGCAATTTTGAAAAGTCAGTGGAATTCCCCTTTAAGGAATATTACAATGACCAAATTACATTTCTCATGCAGGATGGGAGAGATGTAACTAGATTGGTGGAAACGTTGCTTTATGGGTTGTGCCTAATATTACAGCAGTGGTGCACTTCCCTGAGGAGAGTTTTGAACCATAGTCTTCTGCATGCAGAGTGAGCAACTTAACCACTCTCCTACAGAGCCAGTTAAAAAGTGCATTTTCCCTCAAAACAACTCTATACTTAACAACTAACCTGTGACAATACTTCAGATGTGATGACTTTGCTCAGTTTTTTGTGTTATGTGTTAAATGTATGAAGCAAACATTTTGTAGGCCTAGGATGAGTTGTTTAGGGAATGTGTCGTGTTTTTCTAATAGCCTTACAATCTAATTAATGTGTTTGCAATTGTGATGTAAGTAGCTGTAGTAGATACAGTTTTCACTACTAGAAAAGATTTCACTACTTTTGCACTTTGCACTATACTAAATGGGGCTTTTGGAATGTTATAATTTGTGGTATTTGCCACAGATTATAACAGTCAGAGACACACTATTTTTATCATAATTCATTGCTTCTCATTTCATCTTCTCTTTCTATTCTCCTATTTTCTCCCCTCACACCTGCCCTCTCTCTCTGTCAGGTGTGCCTGACGCTAACAGCGAAGCGTATGGCTCGTAAGAACTGTTTGGTGAAGAATCTGGAGGCTGTAGAGACTCTGGGTTCCACCTCCACAATCTGCTCTGATAAAACCGGCACTCTGACGCAGAACCGCATGACCGTGGCCCACATGTGGTTTGACAACCAGATCCATGAGGCTGACACCACCGAGGACCAGTCAGGTGAGAACATTACTTATGAATGCGATACAGAAAGCCAACGGATCTGAGAGCTAAAAGGTCTACTATACTTCCAAATCTTGTGGGCTTGTGTGCGCATTCAAGTATTTTCTGGCAAATGTCCAAGTATGTTCAGTTTACAAATGCGCAAACTGCAGTGTGCAAGACCACTCAGAATGCACCTCTTCCCCAATACTATATCAAAAAAACTAAAAAAAATAAAAAAACACAAAGGGGAAAAAAGAAAAAAAACATTCTAAACTTGTAAAGGTTAATGTTAAAGGTTGATGTTAAAAATATTTATTTTAAAGTACAACCCCATTTCCAAAAAAGTTGGGATGCTGTGCAACATGTAAATAAAAACAAAATACAATGATGTGCAAATCATTTAAACCCTATATTTCATTGAAAATAGTACAAAGACAACAAATCAAATGTTAACAGTGAGAAATTTTATTGTTTTCTGAAAAATACTTGCCTATTTTGAATTTGATGCCAACAACATGTTCCAAGAACGTTGGGACGGGGGCATATTTACTACTATGTTGCATCACCTCTTCTTTAAACAACACTCCGTAAGTGTTTGGGATCTGAGGAGACCGACTGCTGTAGTTTTGAAAGCGAAATGTTTTCCTGTTCTTGTTTGATACAGGGTTTCAGCTGCTCAGCAGTTTGGGGTCTACTTTTGTCGTACTTCTCGTTTTATAATGTGCCAAATGTTTTCAGTAGGTGACAGGTCTAGACTGCAGGCAGGTAAGTTTAGCACCTGGACTCTTTTAAAACGGAGCAATGTTGTCGTAATACATGCAGGGTGTGGTTTGACATTGTCTTGCTGAAATAATCAAGGCCTTCCCTGAAAAAGACATCGTCTGGATGGTAGCAAATGTTGCCAAAACATGTATGTTTTTCAGCATTAATGGTGTCTTCACAGATGTGCACATCACCCATGCCACATGCACTAATGCTCCCTTATACCATCATGAATACTGGCTTTTGAACTGTGCACTCATAACAAGCTGAGTGGTCTTTAGCCTGTAGGATACAGTGTCTATGATTTCCAAAAAGAATTTCAAGTGTTGATTTGTTGGACCACAGGACACTTTTCCACTTCCCCTCGGTCCATTTTAAATGAGCTCAGGCCCAGAGAAGGTGGCAGTATTTCTGTATCCTGTTTATATTTGGTTTCTTCTTTGCGTTTTAAAGTTTTAACTTGCATTTGTGGATGCAGTGACAAACTGTTTTCACAGAAAGTGTTTTTCAGAAGTGTTTCTGAGCCCATGCAGTGATTTCCACTACAGTATCATGTCTGATTTTTAATGCAGTGCCACCTGTGGGCCCAAAGATCATGGCCAGCAAAAATATTTTGGCCTTGCCCCTTGCACAGACATTTCTCTGGATTCTCTGAATCTGTTAACGACATTATGTACTGTAGATGATGAAAAGCAAAAGTTTTTTGCTATTTTATGTTGAGAAACGTTATTCTTGAATTGTTGCACTGTATGATTGTGCACAGTCTTTCACAGAGTGGTGAACCCCTCCTCATCTTTACTTCTGAAAGACTCTCTTGGATGCTCTTTTTTTACCCAATCATGTTACTGACCTGTTGCCAATCAACCACAAGGTGTTTTTTTTTTTTTGTTTGTTTGTTTCAACTTTACCAGCCTTTTGTTGCTCCCGTCCCAACGTTTTTGAAACACGTTGTTGGCATCCAATTCAAAATGGGCATATATTTTTCAAAAAACAATAAAATTTCTCAGCTTCAATATTTGATATGTTGTCTTTGTACTATTTTCAATGAAATATAGGGTTTAAATGATTTGCACATTATTGTATTTTGTTTTTATTTACACTTTGCACAGAATCCCAACTTGTTTTGGAAATGGGGTTGTAATTTTGGACCAATTCTAAGGTAGATGACAATATATATACACTTAAAAATGATGGTTCTTCAAGGGATCTTTAGTAAAGAAAATGGTTCTAAATAGAACCATGAACACTCAAAGAACACTTTGTATGATAAAAGGGTTCTTTGTATTGTGAAGGGTTCTTTAGATTGATGGAGAATGTGCTGTATATGGTCCTTTTTTGACAAGGGTTCTAAAAAGTACCAAAAGAGTCCTTCTATTGGTACAAGATTGACATCATAACATTTTCAAAATTTTAGCCTTTTCAAAAAACGTCTATATAGAACCATCTACAGCTTCCCTGACCAGTTACATATAGCTGATAGCGAATATGTACTTGCAGTCTAGATGACTTTTGACTAAATCTGGAAATAAAAACATGCGCTTAAGTAGGACCAGAAACCACATGTGTAGACTAAGCCTCAAGGAATATATTCTCTCACTCCATCCACAGATCCACCAGGCACTAGCCTACCTAATTTCACACCTGGGTGTTGTTTAGGTAGCCTGTATACATGTAGTCCTTGGTTTATCTTTGTTCTTTGCAAAGGGGATGTGTTCCTCTGGTTTTTACCCTAAAGACTTTTATACTCCTAGTAGTTTTGTTTTTCTGTTTTTCTCTTTTTTTCCAGAGTAAATTTACGTTAATATATAAATTAGCAATTACAATGACCCAAAAAAGGGCAAATGATTTTAACCATTGGTAAGTGTAGTTTAGGTTCTTTAGGCTACTTCATGAAATGTTTAACCTCAATTTAGCAGAACATCAAACTGATAGCAGAGTCTTTATGTGTAGAAAGCCTGGAGAACTCCAGACTGCACAAAGAATTCTGTAAAGCACAGATGTTGAAATGGCGAAAAGTTTTCTTACAGTGGTGTCGAGTACTTTGTTCATTGATGAGATCATGAACTTGGAAGTGTACAAAGACATTTTGGATGCAGACTTGCAGAAGTCTGACAAGAAACTGTTTAAATAATAATGATCTAAAACACAACAGCCTTTTAAAAAGTCCTTGGAAAGGTCTGTTTAAAATATATGCCACTTGGTTTTTGTTTCTCAAGCTACATCACACAAGTCTGGCATAAATTTCGAGACTTTTTTGTGGCCGCTGTATGTATTTGGGAGATTTACCTAAGCACACTGTTAGTGACTGGATTTTAATACATCTGATCACATCAAGGGTCCTGAACTCCAGTCCTGGCAGACTGATTGGTGATAATTTTTGGGACAGCTTGGGGTTCCCCTATATAAACACACTGACCTAAGCTGAATAATGAGATGTGTTTGAATAGGGAAATCACCCAACTGACCTTCTTGAATTAGAAATTGAGACCGTCATTCTATATATTATTTTTTTTGTATCTTTTACTGTGTATGTAACTCTTCCTGTTTGTGTGTACATACAGTTATTGGCATTCATGGTGTGTGTGTGTGTGTGTGTGTGTGTGTGTGTGTGTGTGTGTATGTGATTCGTCTTGTTTGCAGGCTTTGGGAGCTTTGATAAGAACTCTCCCACCTGGGCTGCTCTGTCACGGGTTGCAGGACTCTGTAACCGTGCTGTCTTCAAGCCTGGACAAGAGAATATCCCTATTCTCAAGGTGAACACAAACACAATAGTCAATAACATATTATAACATAATGTATTCAGTATTCTGTGATTTTCTTTCTCTAATTCATGCTGACTTAATAAAATGTGCAGTTATACTGAGGACATGCTAATGACTATGAATCTGGTGTGTTGGTATGTGTGTGTGTGTGTGTGTATGTAGAGGGACACAGCAGGAGATGCTTCAGAGTCAGCTCTGCTGAAGTGTATCGAGCTCTCCTGTGGGTGTGTGCACACACTTAGACAGAAAAACCCCAAAGTATGTGAGATCCCATTCAACTCAACCAACAAGTACCAGGTATGCACATTCCACATGCATGTAAAAACATGCATATACACATTTGAAAAAGTGGAGCCATATATTTTGTAATGTGTTAGAGAAATGTTCTGCATGTTTTTCTAGGTATCGTTCTTTTGCAGTTATTCTCTGGGTTTATTTGGACAAAGACTCTTAATGTGAAGGCGAGGTTAGTTTGCCTTCAGAAGGATATGGGTCAAAGCAGTCAGGAACTGGGGGTTAATTGGAGCTAAAAGCGAGAAAGTGCAGTGTGAGCTGTTTGTAATGTTTGTAAAGCTGTAAGCCAAAAGTCCTGCTATAGTATGGCGTGGCTCTGGCCGACTACAGCCGTTTATTAAAACACATTGCTTTATGCATGAGCTGCGTGTCTCCTTTAATAGTGCTAAATGCTACATTTGGCATCTGCATAAAAAAGGTTCCACCTCAACAGGAGACATTCAGACTATTTAGTCACTAGCAGCTAAGCTAAGCTACATAGCTCTGAGAAGGGATGGAGCACTGTGTTTGTATAACAGTTGAGGAAGACGATGGTGAGTTTGAGAGCACAACAGTCACCAGGGTGAGTCATACCACCCAGGAGTGCTGTGAGAGCAGTAGCCCAGTAGCAGCCAACTGGGACATCTGGCTAGGGTTTGCTGCTGGCCATACCACCAGCGGCATGGGACTGGACATGCAGCTAGCTGGGACATCTGGCGAGAGTCTGTCCATTGGGGTGAAGTCAGCAGAAAAGTCTGATGGCCTAGCCACACAGAACAGCACAGCCAGCGAACAAACAGTGACCCTGGTAGGGCAAATGTCCATATCAGACTTTTGGCACATTTCCATTCACATTGAAGCAGTCCCATGCACTGCTCTGGTGGACACAGGTGATCTGTCACAGTGGCCCAGCCAGAAGTGGAGGGTTCGAGCACCATCTTGGGTAGGGTATGGCTGACACCGATAGTCAGGTGCAATAAGGTGCATCACTTAGTCTGGGTAGCTGAAGTTCAAGACGTGTATTCTGGGTGTAGACATTTTGAGAAGCAACAGGTGCCAAAGAGAGTGTGACACTGAGTTTCAGAGTTGGCTATGCATTGATGATGAAGCCACCAGATGCCCAGTGCATAATGGAACTTGCTGCATCAGAGCTGATTGGAGCATCTCCGGGGGTGGAGTGCACCGTCAGGCTACGCACAGCATGGCTTTTTGTGGGCGTTGGAGAAAGCAGAGGGTGGCTGAGAGTAGTGCTGCTGCTGCTGCTGCCACCCTGAGTGGCACAGAACTTGACCCTGTGAACTGTGAGAAGTTCTGCTGTGCCCAAGGGGATGAAGTGGAGCTGTTGGTGTGTTGCTGTGACCTGTGCATGGGAAAGAAAAGCCCACCGCAGCAGTTGCATGCTTTGGTCTCTCTAGTCTGGCACACTGATGGAGAGGACGCTGTTGAGTTGGTGTTCAGCTGCTCGCCTACACCAGTCAGATCGAATGACTTTCCAGCAAAGAGAGACCCCTTTTCCCATGCCCATGGGTAAAAGGAGTGGCTTCCTGTTCAGTTTGGGGACTTCGTGGTCCTCAGGGGGCAAGGACTTTTGTTTAGGGAGGGGTAGTGTAGTGTGTTTGGGAAATGTTCTGCATGTTTTCTGGATATTGTTCTCCTGTGTTTATTTTAGCAAATACTCAATGAGAACGCAGGGCTAGTTCGCTTTGTGTGTGCGTGGGAGGCGGGGGGTGGGGGTGGGGGCTGTTAGGCCTTGCTATTCTACGACACGCCTAATGTATAACTTCAATAGCAGTTAACAATACAATACACACACACACACACACACAAACACACACACATATATATATATATATATATATATATATATATATATATATATATATGATAACCCTTGGTTTGGGGAGAAGGGAGGACACAGGTGCTGGAGTATAACAGTATAGCTGAAACTTTTAATGGAGGTACTTAAAGGATTTAGGCTTGGCTTTTTGCCAGGAGAGCAAAGAGGAGAAAAAAATCCAAAACTTTCAGGCCTTTGACTTTTCAGCCACACTTTGCTGGCCTCTGCTTCCGTGAAAACGCTCTCTCTCGGTCTCCAACCAGCTACTGCAGGAGAGAAGCACCTGGGTAGCTGGTAGCAAATGACACACAGGTTAAAAGCATAGCCTAATTACTCACTGGTTCACTGTGACTAGCTCTCCACACCGCAGGTGACACTAGGCCACACCCTCCCCACTGTTACAAAATATACATTATTAACAGCACTATTTTTTTCTTTGTTTGACCATTTAAGCCGTTCACTGTTCAAGCCTGAAGCCCAGCTGATCAAGTGCTGTGACCCTCTCATTTCAAAAAGCCCTCTCATTCAAATACAACTTTTGTTCAATTAATGACTGTCTTGATAAAAGTTATTCCCTACTGCGATTTATAGTGATCAATTATTGTAATCATTTGACAGCCCTAAAATAGACCTTAGTGCAGTAAAATGTAACAAGAATTTCTTGCTTTCAAAAGTTTGGTTCTCCTCTACATCCCCAGCCATTGTATGGATTCATTAATATTTCATCAACAGGACACCTGATTTAATTTAATGAAGCATTCATTAGACAAACCAGAATTTGGATGGCAACCACAAATAATACTGGGCTATGCAGCTACCTATATGTAATATGTCCTATATGTATTATGTATACAGTACCTATATGCATGTAAGAATTTTCTTTGTCTTTTCTGAATCTCCTCATTCAAACACATAAAATGTTCTCTCTTCTCTCTAGCTGTCTATCCACGAGATTGAAGACAGTCCCACAGGGCATCTGCTGGTCATGAAAGGAGCTCCTGAAAGGATTCTGGACAAGTAATCAATATAACTGATCAGAACTGATCTTTGCTTCCCTCTGACTCACCTGGTCAATTATTGGATACTTTTAACTGGATTTGTTTGATGGCAGATCTGTATCATTAAAGAAAACTAAACTATGCTTTTTTATCAGTATCTTTGACAAATGTAGATCAATAATTGTGATTACAGCTGATCATTTGACCTAAATAACTCTGATCTCTCTTGATTGATAAGTTTATATGCTGTTATTATTGCAAGGCAAGTGAAAGTGACTTGACAATTGTGATTATTGGTAATCGGTAACTGTTGCTACTGGTGATGGATCATGCAGGTGCAGTACCATAATGATCAACGGTGAGGAGCTTCCTCTGGATGATGACTGGAAAGATGCATTCCAGGGTGCCTACATGGAGCTGGGCGGTCTGGGTGAGAGAGTGTTGGGTAAGAATATGGCTACATTATTTAGCATAAATAGATAATTTGTTCTAAACAAATCAAATGCAGTAATGAATAGGTAATGCAGTATTCTTGACTGCACAAATCTATCTAAACCTTTGATGTGTACACAACAACTTGCAGCATACCTTCTCTTTAGATGCTATGACAGCCACCTCAGCATCCACCAAAAACTCAGCTTGCTTATCAGTCCTTTACTCCTCTAGCCTCATAGTTCTATACCAGCTCTACTGCTAACCTGACATAAATATAGCTTTATTACTCTCCAGTATATAGTCCTATAGTTCTGTATCAACTGTCCTGCTAACCAGACCTAAACACAGCTTTATTAATCTCCAAAATATAATTCCATAGTTCTACACCAGCTGTACTGAAATTCATAAAGTCTATAGTCTGCAAACTTGTAAGCTACTTGCTGAAAGATGCTTGTTCAGAGATTCATTGTTCTGTATTATAATACGATTTCACTTTTATGCAAATCCGAGTCAAGTCGTAAGTCTTTTGTTGTGAACTCTAGCTAAGCCACAAATCAATATTAACAATTATGTTAAACCTGCTATATTATTTATACAGAATGCACTACAAAGCACACTGTACAGGGTGTACATTCTTGTGTTATGGCCCTAGTTTTAGCCTTCTGTCTGGGACAGCCTTAGCTGTATGCTTAAACATTGAGTTGTGAGTCGGTTAAGCATGAGTCAGAGGCCAGTTGTAAGTCAGTTAAGGGTGAGTCAAAGTTGAGATGTAAGTCAGTTAAGGGCGAGTCTAAGTCGAGATGTGAGTCAGATAAGGTCGAGTCAGAGTCGAGATGTGAGTCAGTTAAGGATGAGTTGGGGTTGTTCTGCAAACCAGTTAAGGGGTAGTCTGCATTGAGTTGTAAGTCATTTAAGGGAGAGTCATAGGCAAGTTGTGAATCAGTTAAGGGCGAGTCAGAATTGAGATGTGAGTCAGTTAAGGATGAGTCAGGGTTGTGCTGCAAACAAGTTAAGGTTCTGCATTGAGTTGTAAGTCATTTAATGGTGAGTCATAGTTGAGTTGTGAGTCAGTTAAGGGCAAGTCCACATTGAGTTGTGAGTCAGTTAAGGGTGAGTGAGAGTCAAATTGCGAGTACGTAAAAGGTGAATCAGAGTATTGTTGCGAGTCAGTTAAGGGTGCGTCTGGGTCGCATAGCAAGTCAGAGTCGTCGCAAGTCATTATGCAACTCATTCAAGTGTCAGTCAAGTTTGACTCAAATCAGAGTTGTTGACTTGTGTCCCCATCTCTAGCCTATGTGGAACATGGGGTGTGAGGAGCACCATGTTGTATTAACCACACACACTTTTGGTTTACACCACACCCACTTTCAGTTCAAATCCAAATATGCATAGAGATATACAGATATACTGATGTTTTGAGTACTAAACTGGTATAAATACACCCCTAATATTAGTGTAAGAAGGTTGTATGAAGGTACTGGGTTGCAATTTCAGCACACTGGGCTTTGGTACAATGTGACTGTACACAATTGCCGTTGACTGAAGTCTGTTTGTGTCTAACACAGATAAAGGAGAAAAGCCCAGATACTAAATCCAGCTTTGTCACATCTGAGATTAATTTATTCACTCAAAGAAAATATCTGATTTTTCTTGCAGGCTTTGACCAGACAGTTACTTTGAGGATGGCCGTCAGCCAGCATCATTGATTTTGCTTTATATTACTTCTGACATTTTCCTCTCATTTCTTTAGTCTGTACTATATTAATTATTTTTATACCTCTGTCACTCTGCATTTGCAGGATTCTGCCACCTGTCCCTGTCTCCCTCCCATTTCCCACGAGGCTTTGCATTTGACTCTGACGATGTCAACTTCCCCATGGATCAGATGTGCTTCCTGGGTCTCATGTCCATGATTGACCCCCCGAGAGCTGCCGTCCCTGATGCTGTGGGCAAGTGTCGTTCTGCCGGTATTAAGGTACTGACTAAATCCAGGCATTAATTTAATTAGATGAGTTATTTATTCACTGTAAAAAATGATTTGATGTTTAACTGCAAGAAGTTGCTAACCTGTTTGTCTTGAAATTTTCATTGAACAGTAAATTAACAAAACAATAATCAGTGTTTTACATCCTGTTAACTTATTATTTGAAGTTAAATGAACCTAAACTTTTAGGGCAATTAGGTTAATTAAAACACTGAATCATTGTTACAGTGTTGATTCTTCCATTTGAATGATTATTTTATTGATTCTTCTATTCAGATAATTCACTATTTCATTTTTCCATGTGGTTCATTCTTTCAGTCACCATTTGTCTGTTGCATGACTTGTTCAGCATAGCTCCACCTGTCCATGTGTACTGTATCTATTGGTTGATCTATTGAACTGATTGTCTTTATATAAGATTATTTGCTAGGTCGAAAAGATCGAATAGAATCATGACTTTGGGTTTTAAATATGCAGTGCACATATCGATGACTGTAATTCATTTGCAAAGGTGATCATGGTGACCGGAGACCATCCAATCACTGCTAAGGCTATCGCTAAGGGTGTCGGCATCATCTCTGAGGGCAATGAGACGGTGGAGGACATCGCAGAGAGACTCAACATCCCTCTCAGTCAAGTCAACCCACGGTGTGTATTTATTCTAGGGGTGGGAGAAAATATCAATACCGTATAATATTTGAGGTTTAATAATATTATCAAAACACAAATTATACATGTGTTAAACCCATTGTTAGAATAATAGAACTGAAATGCATTTCTGTCTTAATCCACAAAATGTCACTGTTTCTTTCTAGTGAGATCAAGGTCAATGAAGTCATTGCTATATAGATAGTGTAGTGGATAACATACAAGGGATATTATAGTTTTTACATTTTCATTAGTTTTTTTTATTTGTTTTTTCATTTCTGTTTATAATTTCAGTTAAATTTTAGTGGGTTCTATGGATGCATTATTAGTTTTAGTTTTATTTTAATTTTCTGAGAAAATTAGTGTAGCTAGTTTAGTCTTTATGTAGCTTCAGTTTTGGTTTTAAGTAACTAAAAGTGATGAAACTGTGATATTGCATGTTTAATACATAGAATAAGCAGTTCAAAATACTTGATTTCTATATCAATCTACAAACTGTTATTGGACTTCTAAAACACAATTCTAAGCTTTTTCAGGCTTTCCAAGCTTTCTTTAGGCACCAATTGGACTAACGTTTTTTGTACAGTGATCATTCATTTATTTTTCCCTTTGGAATGAATGGTGGAATGCTTAACATTCTGAAACTGAATCATTGTTCTTACATGAACCTTTTATCTCAGCACACCATGATACAAGCACACAAGCATCCACCTGGGATAGAAGCCACTTAGCAACCCCTGAGCAATGACCTAGGATATCATAGAAACCATGTAGCAATACCCTTGCAACCGCTTGGAACACCATAGCATCCACCTTGAGATACCTTAGAATACTTTAACAGCTGCTGTTTACAGCTAAGAAATGAAAATAACTTTAAAATAACCCCAAAACAACCACAGAAAAACAGCATGAACAAAGTGTCTGTACTACATATTTTCATGTTTGTGTGAATTTGACAGAGATGCCAAGGCATGTGTAGTCCACGGTACTGATCTGAAGGAGATGAGTTCTGAGTATTTGGATGATCTCCTGAAGAACCACACTGAGATCGTCTTTGCTCGTACTTCTCCACAACAGAAACTCATTATAGTGGAGGGCTGCCAGAGACAGGTAGGAGTGTGTTTGTGTGAGAATTATCTGTGTTATTTGGATGTAATGGTTGAGCTAATTAAACATGTACAGACTGTTTGTTGCTGTAATAGTTAACAGCAGTTTGTGTTTTCAGGGTGCTATTGTAGCAGTGACGGGTGATGGAGTAAACGACTCGCCTGCCCTAAAGAGGGCAGATATTGGTGTTGCCATGGGAATAGCCGGATCTGACGTCTCCAAACAGGCGGCAGACATGATCCTGCTGGATGACAACTTTGCTTCCATAGTAACAGGAGTGGAGGAGGGTAAGAGAGACAAGGAGAGGAAAAAAGTGGGGAACTGGGGAGTTGTAAGCTTATTAGATACACCTATGCTGAACTCTCATTGCCCATTTTTTCAAATACACCTTCCATATTAGTACACTTTGCATGTTTACAATGACTGACTGTAGACTGCTGCACAATTTATTTGACAATCAGTGGAGAAGGATCACCATTGGACCACCACTGACCAGATTTGAGTGGTGGACCATTCACAGCACTGAAGTGCCGCTAACATGGAAGGGTCCTATGGTGATCCCTTTTTATTGATTGACTGGACATGCATATGTATATGTATATGTATATGTATATGTATATGAATCCACCAATAAGCTGTAACATTAAAACTACCTTTTTGTTTCTACACTCATTTTATCAGCTCCACTTACTATTTAGGTGCACTTTGTAGCTCTACAATTACAGACTGTAGACTATCTGTTTCTCTGCATACATTGTAAGCCTCCATTCACCCTGTTCTTTAGTGGTCAGGACCCCCACAGGACCACCACAGAGCAGGTATTATTTGGGTGGTGGATCATTCTCAGCACTGAAGTGACACTGACGTAGTGGAGTTGTGCTGGTATGAGTGGATCAGACACAGCAGTGCTGCTGGAGTTTTTAAACACCTCAGTGTCACTGCTGGATTGAGAATAGTCCACCAACCAAAAATATTTTGCCAACACCGTCCTGTGACCACTGATGACAGTTTAGAGGATGACCAACAGAAACTGTGCAGCAACAGATGAGCTACTGTCTCTTACTTTATATCTAAAAGGTGTCTTAGCTAGGTAGGAGTGTCTAACAGAGTGGACAGTGAGTGGACATAGTATTTAAAAACTCCAGCAGCACTGCTGTGTCTGATCTGGTTGTAAAAGTTCAAAACACACTAACATCACATCAGTGTCACTGCATTGCTGAGAATGATCTGCCACTCAAGTAATACCTGCTCTGTGGCGGTACTGTGGGGATACTGACCATTAAATAACAGCGTGAAAGGGGACAAACACGGTATACAGAGAAACAAATGGACTACAGTCTATAATTGTAGAACTACAAAGTGCTCCTATATAGTAAGTGGAGCTGATAAAATGGACAATGAGTGTAGATACAAGGAGGTGGTTTTATTTTATGGCTGATTGGCACGCGTGCACCCACATATATCTATAGGTGTTTCTGATAAAATGGCCAGTGAGTGTAGGTACTAGGTAGGAATACCTAATAAATTGGCAGCTCAGTGGAGGTATAAACGGAGTGAAGAGTCAAAGGTAAAAGAGAAAAAGAAAGACAAAAAGAAAAAGGAGAACTGAGTAATACAGAGATTCAGGGAGAGAAGAGCTAGAGAAATATTGACACAAAACGAGATTAGACAAAAAAAGATTAAATTATGAAAGTTTTTTATCTGTGTAGACAATAATGGCCAAAATGGTCATTTTTGCTGAGATGATCAAATTTGTTCTGTGTGTTTCCCCGAAGGTCGTTTGATCTTTGATAACCTGAAGAAGTCGATAGCTTACACTCTCACCAGCAACATCCCTGAGATCTCTCCATTTCTGCTCTTCATCATCGCTAGTGTGCCTCTTCCTCTGGGCACTGTCACCATCCTCTGCATCGACCTGGGAACTGATATGGTAAGAGACACTCACCTCTGCCTCAGTCACAGTGATGAATTTTATGTCAAATGACATGTTTTCTTGATTTTATAAATGAAGATGAGCTAATACATTCTCTATAGCAGGGGTGTCCAGCAAGTTTTCACTCCAAACAAGCTGAAGCACACCTGATTCTACTTGCTTAATCAGTTGGTCTTAGTCTTCAAACATTTAGTCATGTGACCTCCTGCTTTGTTGTAGTGAAAACCCGTAGCCACATCAGCCCTCTTTGGATGAGATTGGACACCCCTGCTCTATAGGGAACAAAATTATGGCATTTTTCTGCAAATTTGAATGCATTATTTCTATTTTTAAGCTGAGTACTGGAAAAAAATAAAACATTAAATATAAAATGTGGTTGTCTTTGGGTGTTTTTATGGGTGAAAATTAAACGATTTCGCCATTCAAAACTTATTATATTAATAATCTGTGGTATTGTATACTGTGGAGTCTAAAAGTCTGTGACTACAGTGATTTTTTTTCATTTAAATCTGAAAATAAACAGCAGAAAGTTTTAGAATCTTGAAAATTTTAAAACACAAAAAAGTTATGACAATTGAAATGAATCAAAATATAAATTCTGCACTATTTCTAGGTCACTGTTCAAATTGAAGCATATTTGTGAAATTGACCATTAAAGGCCTTTACACAAAAAGGTCAGAACTGTTTTTGGTCTTATTCCTTCCAGTGAAGCTTATGTTCAGATGACTCTCGTGTGGATTTGCTCTACTGATCAGAGGCTTTTGCACAAACTTATGGAGTCTGTGACTGCTCGAGTTTATTCTGTCATTAAAGCAAAAGAGAAGCATGCTAAATACTAAGAAATTCTGAAATTTATATAAATATTCAAAGATTCCATTTCCACTCTAATTATTATGCTGATAATGTTGTTTGTAATGAAAAACTTTGTATTAAATTTAAAAAGAATGCAAATTAGAAGCATTTTCTCCAGTGGTCTCAGACTTTTGGATCCCACTATATATGATGATAATACACAATGTATATTATATTGCTATATACTCTACATTCTGTACTGTAATTATCTATACACAATCATCTTAGTCCAATTATCTACCTTAAGTGATGAATTCTTAATAATTTAAATTTAAGGTATGTTGCATGTTAACTGTAAGTAACTATAACTTCAATGTTCAACAGTTTTCTTAGTCATTGTAGAATGAAATTGCACAAATCTAGCATAGAGAATTAATTTCATACATTTATCTAGAACCACGTTTTACATTGTTGAAAATGTTGATTTCAATCTTTTCAACCATAGCGTTTCTGTCTTTCTCTCTATCATTTTCAGTCAATCAGTATCTATAGTCATCCTCTTATCTGATATTAAGAAGAACATTTTGTTTTACTCATTCTGCTCACACCCACCCCCTCCCCAACCATCCAAATACACAAACACTTCATTTGTCATTGGCTGCTGGTCTACTGCCCCATAGCACTTTCACCCTCATTCTCTCTCTCTCTATATATATATGTCCTTTTCTTTTCTCAGGTTCCTGCAATATCTCTGGCTTATGAGACAGCAGAGAGTGACATTATGAAGCGTCAGCCCCGAAACCCCAAAACTGATAAACTGGTCAATGAGAGACTCATCAGTATGGCATATGGACAGATCGGTAAGACACACAAAAACACCATTTTTATACCTTGTCTGGACATGGCATCATATACATTTCACTTATGTACTATACAATCTATTGGCGTATGTGGACATCCCTTCTAATTAGTGGATTTGGCTATTTCAGCAACACCCCCTGCTAACAGGTGCAAAAAATCAAGCTTACAGCCATGCAATCATACTGAAGAGCTCAGTGACTGTCATAGGATACCACTGTCATAAAATGTCAACAAATCAGTTTGTCAAATTTCTGCACTGCTAAAGTTGCCCCAGTCAACTGTAGGCTGCTGCTATTGTGAAGTGGAAATGCCTAGTAGCAACAATAGCCCAGTTGCAAAATGTTAACATCACACAGGGACCACCAAGTTTTGGCACAGGAAAAAATAGTGCTTGGTTACAACAGTGACTACCAAGTTCCTGACTGAACTGTATAAAACCTTGACCATCAACCCTGTGTGGGATGAATTGAAACGCTGACTGCAAACCAGGCCTTATTGGCCAAAATCAGGGCTTGATTTCACTAGCTCAGCTATGAAGAGTCAGACCACACAACTCACAGAATGGGACTACTGCGTCCTGAAGAACATAAAAGTAGATCTTGATTGCAACTGTGACTATGAAGTTCCAAACTGGCTCTTGGATTTTTAACCCAATTATCTACCCAATTTAGTCGTCGCCATTTCCACCCGCTAGTTAGGACTCCCCCAATCACACGGTACCATCAACGCTAGGAGGGCGAAGGCTAACACAGGCTTCCTCCGAGACCTGTGAAGCCAGCCACCGTTTCTTTTCGAAATTCCGCTCACGCAACGTCATTGGACAGCTGAACGCGCTCGGAGGAAAGCGCCAACCGCCAGATCTGTTACGTCAGCTAACAGACGCCTGCGCTGACTAGCATCACGTTCAGTGATGGGGGAAGAAGGAGGGGCCATCCTACCCACCCAGAGAGAGCGAGGCCAATTGTGCTCTCTTGGACTGCTGGCTACGGATGGCTGTAGCATCACCAGGGATCGAACTCGCGATCTCCTGATGATAGGGCCAACGCTTAGACGGTTGTGCCACTCGGGAACCGAAACTGCCTCTTGCACCACATTTACCCTAGAACTGTTAGTATGGACCTTCAAGAATTGGGTTTCCTTAGGCACACAAGCCTAAGATCACCTTGCACAATGCCATGTGTCACCTAGAGTGGTGTAAATCACACTGCTGTTGATCTCTGGAGCAGTCTAAATGCGTTCTCCAGTGTGATAGATCATGCTTTACCATCTTGCAGTTTGATAGACAAATCTGGCATAGGCAGATTCCATGAAAAAGCTACCTGCTTGAATGCATAGTACCAACAGTAGAGTTTGGTGGAGGTGGAATAATGGTCTGGGGCTTTTTTTACATGGCTTGGGCTAGGCCCCTTAGTTCTGTTTAGAACTCAAGGGAAATCCTAATGCTACAGCATACAATGACAATATAGAGAACTTTGTGTTTCCAGCTTTGTTGCGACAATTTGGGGATGGCTGTTTTCTGTTTCAGTATGACAGTGCCCCCTTGCCCAAAGCAGGATCCGTAAAGAAATGGTTTGCTGAGTTTGGTGTGGAAGAATTTAATTGAATTGCACCAAGTCCTGACCTGAACCCCATCAACCTCATTTTGGGATGAAATGGAATGCTGACTCCGAGCCAGACCTTATCGCAGTCAGTGCCTGACCTCACTAATGCTTTCGTGGCTGAATGGGAGTGAATTCCCGCAGCCAAGTTCCAAAATCTAGCAAAGAGCCCTTCCACAAGAGTGGAGGCTGTTATAGCAGCAAAGGTGGACCAACTCCTTATTAATGCCCATAGTTTTGCAATATGAATTTGATGTTCGGATTTCAACATGCTTCTGGTCATGTAGTCTATAAGTGCACCTATATTAAACTACTGTATATATATGTAAATACAGTTTTTAAACTACTGTATATATATGTAAATACAGTTTTCAGCTTAACCCAACAGTGAAAAGGAAATAGCTCTAAAAATTGCAAAGTTAGGACAATTTTGTTAGTTCTGTTTTTCTCAGGTTTCCAAAGTCAGGACATTTTTGCTGAAAAAATATCTGAAAACAAACACATACTTTTTCACGCACACTCACACAAGGCACGCCTGTACCTTACCTTGGGCACCACTTTTTTGTCACACTCTAAAACGTGAGGTATTGAGTGAACTCAAAAAATTTGAGGAAGCTAACGACCTTGAGTAATTTGAGTAGCTTTATACAAAGAACTGAACTGATTTATCTCCAGTTTCCTTGAACTCAGTGAACTCAGTGTTTTTGCCTTTTCCTCATACAGAACTATTATTATCAAAATGCAGATGTAGTGCAGCAAGTCTGATTGATTCCCCCATGCAAATAAAGAAGCTTAGCTTAGTTTACTCTGTGCCTGACTTTACCATTCAAAAGTTTGGAAAGAATGTTTTTAATAAACAAAACTGATGTGGTTGCAAATAAAGGTGTGAAACATATATGCTGGTCCTGTGCAAATTCACAGGCTTCAAATAATTAGTAGAAAACATGAAGGCCTAAAAAATTAGAAATTTTTGTTGTGTTCAGAATGATGAACGAAGCTGTAGATGATTCTACAATGATTAAAAACTGTCTAACAACAAGAATTAAATTATTATAATGTTAATATCTGGAATGCCTCATATTTCAAAAATGGTGATCAAATCTTAAGGCAGATAAGTTGACAAAAATTATACTAGATAGATATTTACAGTATATTGTTTTAAATTTCAGAACTTCTTTTTGTTCCCAACTTACTTAAAAGACTGAATTTTCCTTACTTTCTGGAAATGAGAGTTTGCTGTAATATGCAAACACTTATAAACTTTCAAAGCATAGTGTTCATTTCCCAGTCCATACATACAAAACCAATGTGTTTACATACATCCACCTATTCAGCCTACAGCAGTTTAGCCCTGCCTATTCACACTTAAGTTATAAGGAGTTATTAGGCTCAATACAGAACACCTAATCACAACAGAGCTCCTACAATGTCTTAAAGGCACAGTAAGAAAAACAGCTTGTTTAATACTAAGGGATAAGGAGATGATGGAAAATGTTGAAGTAAAAGAATTCTGACCATTTTGGTACATTTTGGTTATAAGTTGAGCCAAGGAGAAAATTATTGAGATTTGATAAGACATATGTAGGTTATAGGCCTTTTAAAATCTGACATATTTGGAAGCGTTTTTTCATGCCTATGAAGAAACTATGCACACTGGATGCAATATGTTTTGTTTGCGCTGTGTAAGAACAATGAACAAACAAATAGACAGAACACCTTGAAATGACAACAATGTCTTTTGCTCCTAACAAAAAGGGCAAATGGTGAGATCGAGCAGGTTACTTTTCATTTTGGAAAAGCAAAAGGAGCTCAGAGACTTTCACCATCTGATACAGGGACTTTGTTCGTGATTTCACAGCTGCAGTCCGTAGCACAGTTTGACTTGCTTTTAAAGATGCTCGCACCATCTGCGACGAACCAGAGGACAAACTAATCTTTTTGATATTTGTCAAAAACTACTGGTTGCTGGGACACAGCCGATTGGTCAAGCGAGGTTGTTGCTATGCCAACCTTAAAGACAGTGATAGCTCATGTTGCCTCTGAAAGTTTACAAAAATCAAAAAGAAGGAGAACAAAATGGTCATATTTGTACCATCTGGAAAATTTTGTTTTTGTGCAAGACATCAAATATACACGTTCAAATTAATTTATTGAAGTCCAAATAAATTGTACCTTGGCCTCAAAGGGGTTTTAAAAAGTTTTTCATAATTCACTGGTTAAGAATTGTTAACAAAGTCATTCAGAGTGGTTTGATGTGAAATGTTTAATTGTAGAGAGACTTACTGAGTCAGATTTTTTCACAGTGGTCATGATAGCAATAAGGTGGCGCGACAGCTACAACACATTTACAGCCATTTTATACATTATCCAAAACCACCAGTGAACCTACGTGTGTCTTCCGAGTTTTATATATAATGTTGTAAATTGTAAAAGAGTGATAAATCTGAAATAGTAAGTTTTCTCTGGGGACTATTTTGCCTTACAACAGCCTACATGTGGCTTTCTGCCATAAATGGATTTAAAAAAAAACATTGTAGCCCAAAAGCCTGTGTCAAAACAATCATAAAACAATGTCTCAGGCAACAGGCAACATATTCATAACCATCTTATGTAATATCTTTTTGTGAGGGAGCTTTCAGAGACATTGAACTCTGGTTCCTATCACCACCACTGTAAAGAAAAAGAGTTGGTAAATTTCTAGAATGGCACGTTTCACATCAAATTACTCAAATTTCTTTGAAACACCTTTAGAAACTGGGTTCTATGTAAGCTTTATGGAGTATTAATGTGTGTTTATGTGCAGGTATGATCCAGGCCCTGGCGGGGTTCTTCACCTACTTTGTGATTTTGGCGGAGAACGGCTTCCTGCCCTCCGGACTTCTGGGAATACGTCTGGAGTGGGATGACCGCAGTGCCAATGATCTTGAGGATAGCTATGGACAACAATGGGTACACACACACAGATACGAACAATTCTGTCAAATTAGTTCAAACTAAAAAAAAATAAAATAAAATAAAATAAAAAAAATTAACTCAATAAAGTATTCAGACCTTTCGTATTTACAAAATTATGTTATGATTTATTTAAACCCAGGGCATTGATTGATTGAGTAATAAGCTAAATAAATACAAAATCATTGTTTATAGGGTACATTTTATTGGGAGGTGTCTGTCCCAAACCCTGAGCTCTAAATTTCAATTTGTGAAAATAATGCTATTTTGTTTTTTTTTTCAACGTTTTAAAAGATCATTTTAATTTCTTTTAAAGAGAAGTTCACATTTAAATTGATCAAAACTTTATTCAAAAAATACTGTCCCATATTTTAGATCACTAACGAAACACAAAGAGTTTTAGACCATAGATGGAGACTTATTTTAGCCACACCCCTGCATTTTAGAGCTGGAAGTGATATTGCATCCCTGTCCCTCATGGCCACATGGTAAGCAGTCAGATCCCATTGTTTTGAAGTAAATGTGCCCAAAAAATGAAAATGAAATGAAAATCTGTGTGTATCATTAAGAACTGTCATTACCGAAACACATATTTTCTGCAATTAAGTCAAGTTTTTTTGTGTTAATGAAAAATGTCATGATTTTATGTGTGTACAACTGTTCAGAGCTGTGATACTAGTCATGTATTGGGTTTTTGAGGTATCCTTAAAATAAGCTAAAATTGTCACTACCGAAACATTTGGTTAAGTTTCAGTAGTGGTATGATTGTTTTGTTAGGGACAACATGGGCTATTTAATTATTTGTTTTAATAAAACAGACATAATTAAGATATAGTCCCAAAGCAAAAGGATTTTAGTCTAAAGTCCCAGTCAGTTAAAAATCTGAAATATGTTTTTAACTCTGACTTTGAACCCATTCGTATAATGATCCATAAACAAACTTGCTCACATTGAAAAACACATGTATATGGACTGTAATCTTGTGGAAACACCTATCAGCAGAAAAACAGCCCCCTCAAGCTGTATTACTTCTGTCTGCATGTTTTTCTTCATCAGACCTATGAACAGCGGAAGATTGTGGAGTTCACCTGCCACACCTCCTTCTTTGTGAGCATCGTGGTGGTGCAGTGGGCTGACCTCATCATCTGTAAAACACGCAGGAACTCCCTCTTCCAGCAGGGCATGAGGTACGTGTGGAGGAGTGAGAGATGCAGCTGTATGAAAGAGACAAAGAGAGAAATTCATTTATTTTAAATTCTGTGAAGAGCTCGCTCAATAATATAAATTTAGACAAATGATTATTATCTGTAGAATTATCGAACCAGTGCAGGGGCGTAGACAGAGCCTTTTTTAGTGGGCTGGCCAGGTCAGACCCAGCAGTTTTATTGTGGTGGCAAGCTGCTGGTCAAAAAGAGTTAGAATATTACCTTACAGATTACTGATTACCTGTTGTAAATGTAAATTGCAAATGTAACCTGTTCATTAATAGCATTAGATCTGGCAAATCAGCGTTAGCAAAAGCTGCATTTATAACTAGACAAACTGTAGAATCTCATGGAGCAACAAAAGAGAATAAAATATTTTACTTCCAGATCATGTTAGTTTGCTGCTGTAGAATCAGGCTGTGTATAAAAGTTAAATGACTGGTTCCGATATCTTCAGGAAAACACTGCAGATGCAAAAGGTGACAGGAATGTACACATTTATAGAGTACTGTATGTTGGGAGGTGTCTGTCCCAAAACCTAATCCCGAAATTTCAACTTATATTTTTTGTATTTTTTTCAATATTTTTTAAGATATTTTTTCAATCTTTCAAAGTGAAGTTGCAATATTTAGACTTCATGAGTTTAATTTTTAATTTTTAAAAAATGCTGTCCCAAGTTTTCATTCACTACTGAAAAACAAAGTTTTATTCCATAGGCGGAGCCTTATTTTAGCCACACCCCTGCATTTTAGTGCAGGAAGTGAGACTGCATCCCTGTCCCTCATGGCCACATAGTGAGCAGTTAGATGCCCATTGTTTGGAAGTAAATATGTCCCAAAGTCTGAAAATCAGTGTGTAACATTAAGAATTGTCACTGGCAAAACACATATTTTCTGCAATTAAGTCAACTTTTTTTGTGTTTAAATAAAAACATTATGATTTCATGTGGGTACACCTGTTCAAAGCATGTGAAAATGTTTTGGTAGTGTTGTTATTGTTTTTTGTTGGTGACAAAATGGAATGTTTAATCATTTGTTTTAATAAAACAGACATAATTAAGGTATAGAGTCAGCAAAACATTTAAGGTCAAAAGGACAGACAAACATGCAGAAAGTGATAAAAAAAAGTGGAATAGGTGACATCAACATTATTCTGATCATTTTGAAAGAAAGAAAGCAAGGTGCCCTCTTAAATTCTGAGGCAGAGTGTATGAAGGAAAAAAGCACCTCACTGTCAGTCACTTTTCATCATTGTTGAGTTCGATTTGTTCATCCTGAAAGATCTCTCCTCTGTCCTCCTGCAGGAATAAGATTCTCATCTTTGGTCTGTTTGCTGAGACTGCTCTCGCTGCCTTCCTGTCCTACTGCCCTGGAATGGATATTGCTCTGCGCATGTACCCACTTAAGTAAGACACACAAACACACACCTGCACACACACACTGTATGTCCAGAGGTTTGTAGTTTCATCCAACATTTCTTCTGAAGTGTATTATTAGGGAATTTGTCCCCCTTTGCTGTAACAGCCTCTACTCTTCTGGGAAGGCTTTACGCTAGCTGTGAGGATTTGATTGTGTTCATCCATAACAGCCTTAGAGAGGTCAGGTACTGATGTTGGATGATTAGTTCTGGATCACAAACACCACTCCAACTGTACCCCTCTAGTTGACGCTTGGCACTGAGCATAGTGACATTAGGTTCATGTGCGACTGCTCCAGAGAATCTCTTTCTATAGGCAATGCCTTTCTATGTAGATTACATACGCTGTGTTTATGCCGTTAAACGCCTGTATAATGTAAAAACATTATTCTCTGTTCATAGAGAAAAGGATGGGTTCCCTTTTTGAGCCTTGAGCCTCTTGCTTTTAGAAAGTTTTTCCTTGCCATTGTTGCCATTGCCTGGCTCATGGGGGCTTGGACCTAGATTTTTCTGTAAAGCTGCTTTGTGACAACACCTGTTGAAAAAGTACTGTACAAATAAACTTTGACTTGATTTGACTTACTTTTGGACGTACAGGGCAGCTACTGACCAAATTAATAACTAATCATAGAGTCCTCATTAGTCTTCATTCAATCTGAGTGGTCTCAACTAACTTATTAACAGGGCCCTGTTATTTTTGTTCTTTCTTCTTTTTCCATCTCCTCCTGTACTCATGCGTTCATGAGCCCCTGCTGGTGTGGATTCATGCTGTTTCTTCTCTACAAATGATGCACACAAAGGCGATTTGCATGTTAATAGCTCCTCCTCATGGAGAACTTATATACTGCTAAATGTGCTTGAGTAAATTAGTGAGTTCCAAATACATGTTCACATGCTTATTGAAAAACATAGTGTTTTCCATTGTTATAGTGTAGTGCTTATGAAATTTGATGTCTGTGGGAAACCATGAAGTATTATAGTTTCATAATTCTATTCATTGGGACAATTAAGCTATAGAGAAAATGCTTAGAATTTTCCTCAGATAGTAGGTCTCACTCTGAGAAATATACTCTACCATAGTCCAACAGCTTGTTAAAGCTCCATAAAAGTCCATTTTATTATATGATATATATTACATGCAAATATTATTTAAAATATGATTACAACTGATTACAATTCTCACGAATATTACCTTTGAAGCGTTATCATAAGACAATGTAATCTCCCAGACCTACTCTCATCCTTATCTATCACTCCTTTAGGCTTTTTCCTCATACCCTCCTCTGCTTTTCTCTGTCTGTGCAGGGTTTACTGGTGGTTCTGTGCCCTGCCATATAGCATCCTCATCTTCATCTACGATGAAGTCCGCAAGTTCATTCTGAGGAGAAGGCCAGGAGGTGAGAGATTTTTTTTTTATTAATGAATGAATTCATTCATATTATTAGAGTGCTTGCTCACAAATACAAAATTATTGAATGGTATCTTCTCTGTTTTATTCACAGGCTGGGTGGAAAAAGAAACATACTATTGATCATAAATGTACACTGACACTGAGTGTGAGTGCTTTTGTGTGTGTGGGAGTGTAGTGTGGGTAGTTGGGTGAGTGTGTGTGTAGGTGAGAGACAAAAACGTGTAAATGAGTATATATGTATAAATTGTAATTAGAAAAATAATCATTATCTGCTTTGCAAAGGTCAGAAACCATCCTTTTGTTGATTTAATTTCCAGTCAAAATAGTCAATAAACACAAGTTACTCATTTGTCAGGAAAAAAACAGAAAACATATTTAACAGAAAATTACACAGACGCCTCAACAATTGAATATAATATCTTTCAGTTTTTTAAAGAAATCTGCAGGGGTATTTTTCATACCTCTTTCATACCTCAGTCTTAGAAGTTGGTTGCATTTTCTGCTTCTTACACACCAAATAATTAGACTGCTGTCTCAGATGTCCAGTTTCACTGTTCTACGGCAATTTTTGTCTATTTCCTTTTCTTAGTAACAGCCCCTTGACAGATACTCCTTTCGACTCATATCACTGTGTTGCCTTCTTACAGTGAAAGGATGGACAGAAACAGCTGAGGGCTTTTCAGATCTGAAGCAGGACTGGAGCTTAACTTTCTCCAGTCTCTCATAGATAAAAGCTATGTACTATTTATCTGATGGTGGCAGCTGTGATGGTCTACTAGGTTTTGCACGATTGTTAGGAGTCAAATTTCCCTATATCTTTTAATAACTTTTTGAATCTCCTTAAGCATGAATATCTTGTGCTTAATGGCCATCATGACTGGAAATTAAATAAATGAACTGTGGTCTCTGACTTTTGAACTGTACTGTATCTAAAATGAGAAGTGTGCTAGGTTCTGTGAGTGCCCTAGAATGTGTGAATGTGTTTAAGTTTTGTGTGAGTACATTGTATCTGATGTGTATATACTGTATGCAGTAAGCATTGAGGATACAAATAGCTGTTTTATTTTTTAGGCCCAAATTATATTGTCTGGGCCTCATTTACAATGTCAGAGCTGTATGTTGTAGATGCTTTGCTTTTGTTCTCTATATCTGCTCTAACACACCTTGTTCAACAAATTGGGCTGCAATTATTAGACACGAAAATCTGTCAGTGAGAATTTTCATAATTAATGCATTGTTCCCTTAACAATGCCTTTGTAGTCTAATTACTGTTTTGAAAGAAAAGTGTGACTTAAATGTTTTTTGACCTCAGTGACAGGACTAGCAGATTTTGAAACTGTTTGAAGAAGCATTCAAAATCATTAATAACAACACAGTGATTAATCTGTGGTGGTACTTTATATTTGATTTTATTATATTTTATGTTGGACTTCATTCACACTCATACTTAGCACTGTGCACTTGATCAGATCACCTAAAACGTATGTTAACGGCAGGTGTAAACAGGGCCATAGAGAGCCCCGCTGGTGACATCCTGTTTAAATAAAAATAATGCGTGGCCACGACTTAGTAAAGCACGGGAACGAGATCCTAATGTGTGGCTATGACTTAGTAAGGCATGGGAACGAGATCCTAATGTGTGGCCACAACTTAATTATCTCGTTCCCATGCCATACTAAGTCATGGCCATGCATTAGGATCTCGTTCCCACATGTTAATAAGGCATGGCCATGCATTATTTTTATTTATTTGTATGGGATGTCACCAGCAGGGCTCTGTAGGCGACTGTTCCAACTCACTTCTGAGGTTTCAAACAATGACTTTGTCTATATTACCTTAGATTTACTGTGGCTCTATTTGTGTGATAATAGATAATAAGGTTAACAATTTAGTCATAATTCAGTTTAATTGCTAATAAACATTACATATCATAAGAACACTCTGCATTCTACAAGACAGGTATGACAACATAGTGAAAATAGAGATCATTAAAATTAAAAAGAGGCTTTGCCATTCCTTAATTGCATTTATTCTAACTGTGCTAAACTAAACTTACTTTGCAACCTACAAAATGTAACAGATGTGACCTTTAACTCTCAAATGGTGAAAAAACAGAAGCTAATTTGACATGGTGGGCTTTTAGATTGTTTAGTTAATCAATAATATGATTGAGAGATTACACAACTATTCAATAAGCACTTGAAAGACTGTGCACTATGGTGCTTTTATCACAGGTAAGGATGTCATTAGGCACAACGTGAAGAGTAAAACCTCCATACTTCCATACCTCCATACAACATAAAATTTTATAAAATACACAATTTTTTAAATAAACAATTTAAGTGCTTCTAAAAAGTAATCAAGATAAAACAATTATTCCACCGTGAAAAGTAGTTCCTTTAGAGTATGTTACTGTTGCCAAGCAATCACAGACTGCTGAAAGAGGACAAGAACATTCAGTGAGCCATCATCATCATAATGAACATATCATACCTTCACTTTATAAGTAGTTTTTGCCCACCAAATTACGACAAAGCTAATTTCCATCAACTCCTCTATGCAATTTCCAGTCTTATATTAGCACGAAGCTAACACTGTTGTACATCCCCTTTCCCCAAACTGAGGATGAATCTTAAATGGCCTACTCCCTATGCAGTGCTATTTTAATGCTCCATTTGGGCGCTGATCAGAAGGTTGTACCTACCAGATGGTTAAGTAGTAAATATGACTTCACCCTGTTCTGGTGCTTGTTCACAGATACCCAGATGCCAGAATTTTATAGCTATATAGGAAGGAAGGAGCTGTTTGAGATGCAGCCTGGGTTTAATACTACTTAAGGCAGATATAATGAAAACACTGACATTTGTAGAATGTAGGACATCCTGTTGACATACTCTATGCTTTTATTATACTGAAATTATACAGTCATGCAGTTTTACAGTGAATCATATAAATAAATACTCTATATAAAAGCCTGCAATGGAGAAGTTGATTAGCCTGTTAGCTATCTTTTAGCCCAGGGGTGCCCAATCCTGGTCCTGGAGATCTACCACCCTGCAGAATTTAGCTCCTACTATAGTCTAGCACACCTGATCTAGATAATGAAGGCCTTCAGGGGCATCTGGATAATAAAGCCAAGTGTGTTGGATCTGAACTCTCCAGGGTGGTAGATCTCCAGAACCAAGATTGGGCACCCCTGTTTCAGCCTGTTAGCTCAGCTGAAACAGTCGGGTTCTTACTGAATCAGTATGCATGGTGGTCCATACAGGCAACATTACAGTCAAAGATTTTTCCATAAGCAACATTCAGTTGTTTTGAGGCGGTCATAGGTGTGTGTATATTGAGTATTTTACAGTGGCTTTCGACTGACGCTCAGCCAATCAGATTTTAGGACTGGCACTATCTGTTTTATAATAATGATAGTTTTTATAATAATAATAATAATATAATATAATAATTGTTTGCTACATCCCTGCTACGAGTTGAACAGGTGTTTCAGAGCATAAAAATCATGAAACACCTTCCCCCACCCCTTTTTGCAGCCATATAAGGTGTCATATGTTTACATCACTCATCAGTATTGCATTCTATCAAACCTTTATCAATGTCTGTAACTCAAAGATAAACAATTTTAAAATATGGCTTTATTCTGTCACATCCCCCCCAGGTATCCCCCTTTTTCCTAAGTGCCTTAATGCTTTAGCTATAATATCTTAAAGTTATTGCATTATGAGTTACTGGTTTTAGATTGTCGCTTAATGCTTCACTGTGACTTTATTTTCTTTTTTGGTTGTTGTAGCTTGAAGCTTATACATTGTTGCTGCATTAACGGTTTAATTTATTAATGTTATTGCATTGTGCATTATATCAAATTCTGTGAAAACGATGGGAGACAGACCCCACTGTGTGCTTCAGCCATAGTTATATTTCATTTCACTATCAGACTGTGATAACACATATTCTGGCAAACAACATTGATAGAGAGACTGTAATAAAGGCTTGCCCATGCAGTAAACAATAAAGCAGCAGGTCATTATTGTAGTTTGTCCACAGCAGTTGTTTTAATGATCATCAAGAATTATGTAGTATATGTTTCAAACAAATGGAGTCAGAGTGCTGGAGAGTGTTGCACACTCTAAACACAGCGATAGAAACAAATTTGCAAGCAGGCCCAGATCGAGTTATCAGCCCCTGCGCACAAATGGCTACCTTTTTTTATGATATCACAGCGGGTTACACGAGTCACTGCATGTCACTGCTACAAAAATATTTGTTTTTTTTTGTATAACTCTTTATTTATTTGTGTATTATCATTTTTTAAATCAATTTATGAAAAAGCATTTTTGAATGTTTCCACCAGTATGCATAATCTGGGGCTTGTGGTACACAAAACTAAAATCAGGTTATCTAATTGATTCTAGACAAACCTCCTGAATTAAATATTTTTTTAGGTAGGATAGCTTGATGTAAAAATGAATTATTCATCATTTATTTGTTATTGTTTAGAAGGAGGCAGCATGGTGGCACAGTGGGTAGCGCTGTGCCTCACAACAAGAAGGGCCTGGGTTTGAAGTTTGCATGTTCATCCTCATGTCTGTGTGGGCTTCTCAAGGAGCTTTGGTTTCCTCCCACAGTCCACACACAACTAAAATCCAAAGGTATGCAGTCAGGCAAACTGGAGATGCTAAATTGACCCTAAGTGTGATTGTGCATATCTGTGTTTGCCCTGTGATGGGCTGGTGACCTGTCCAGGGTGTTTCCTGCCTTCTGCTCAATGAGCACTCCAGCGTACCCTGCGGCTTAGAAAATATATGTGTTAAGAGAGAAGCCTGGAATTACTAATTATGAATGGATTACTCTGTTTTAACCTGCTCATGTAAATATGTTAGTATTTACCAACAAAAAAGACTAGGGGAGGCTTCCAGAGCCATGGTGGAGTGAAGACATCGAAACACTGCTGTCCTTCAAATAATCTCTTACATCAAGTGTACGTTATGTTTCCATCCACTTCAGTTATGTGAAGAAACTTTAGATAATGTAGGCTACCAATGATTATGGGCTGCATTGAAACGAGCAGGATGGAGGGATTTAACTCAGTTTTTGCTTCAAGTAGAATAATCTTTACAGTCATTTTCCATCTTTTTATGATTGCAGCTCAGAGACGCTGGACAGGCTGAGCAATGGCCCACCTAATGAACCTAATTGCATCTAGGAATGCGAATGCACCAGACAATTCTGGAAGCACATTATAGATAGAGCCGTTTTAGGAACTTCAGAATGTCGAAAGCAGCTTTCAAAAAGCTATGTGCCACGATCGGACCATCTGTAGGACTATTTCTTACTTAAGGCTTGATA